TGGTGAAAATCGTATGTTAGAATATTTGATTTCATTAAGGAGTCTAGAGACTTATAGATATGTAAATAGCACGTCATTACATCTGGTCTGAGTGAGTGATCTCTCGTATTGTCATATTAGGTTGTTGACTTGACCCGTTGATCTAATTCACACGTGGTCGCTTGGCCATCGGGCTATTCAATTGCAATCATACAATATCATTTGTTCAATTGATATTTCCGGAACAAAGCAGCAAGGTCACTATTTCGCGTTACCTGCTTACAAACTATTGTATATAGGATCAATTATTACCTTGCATTAAAAAAGAGAAAAGGATAAAAGCGTAATAATGATATAAATTAAAAGCATTTAATTTATATCATTATTATTTGCTACATTATCTTCGTAATTGTAAAGTGAGAATAATTAATGGTGAATAATAATGATTAATAACTATTGTATGAATGATTCGCTGACCCGGATCCTGGGGTTAACTCGAGACTTGCGGTTCTAAAATTAAATTTGACGTAAAGGGATCTGAAAAGGATGACGTTATGCATGTATTTTTGTCCTCGCTTCGTGGTGGGTCATTTCGCTTTGTAATCAAACGCTATCTTATTGTAATAAATAAAGAGTTATATCGTCAAAATCCATTTACTGAAGTTTACGGAACATACGGGAGTTCGCAGTGTTACGTTTCTGGATTTCATTTTAAAGTATACAAAAACTTACTTCGTTATAAATAAATCTTTTCAAAAATATAACCGTACAAGTAATAATGGAAGTAAAATTGCTACAATAAACAGTTGTATTGACACCTACTGATGGCCGGCGGCTTGCGTGAGAAAGGCTTGCCTTACGTAAATACTGGACCGAGTACCACATACCGCAACTTCAAACTCTAAACAGGATGATATTACTTACAACTGCTACGATAAACATCTTAAATTAATTACACCCTCTCACATTTACATGTTATACCTTTCACTGCGATTTTCTGGCATTATGTCTGTACGTATATATATGTATACGAACGTTTCAAAATGTTGAATACTTTATTTATTTGTGTATTTCGAAAAATTAAAATGAGATTATAATTACCTCAATCATTCAATTACAATGAGTAGTGTTATTATATAAAAGTTAAATTTATTCTTCTTTCGTGCCTTCGGTCTAACTGCACGAAGATGATATTGATTTACATTTGTTGAGAAGTTAACAGGAACTGAAAATGTCTGCCCTCACTTGCATACTTGCAGAATCTGTCGCCCACACACGGGTCGATATCTGACTAATGCATCCGACCATTATTTACTCGCTCAGAACGGGTTTGCGATTATCTTGGCCCACGGTCTCGGTGCTCGTTAGGTGTTTTATAGCGCCATTTATACTCTCCTGAATTTATAATCAATATGTACGTGCATTTGTTGGATTTTTGAAGTTATACTTCTTTAGGCGCGTTATGAAAAATTGATGAGAGTGAAATTTTACGATGCGCGCGCACCTGAGAAACATAGTTGTCAGTGTGATTATAGCGTGCGCGAGCGAGATGGGAATAAGACAAGTAAAAAGAAATAGAATATGCGTGAAGTTATGCCAAGAATTTTGAATGACCATAATGACATTTACCTTTTAAACAAATAAAGGAGTTTTAATTATTTTTTCAAAGAAATTTAGCAATGTTTTTTCACAAAGACCTATTGTTACTTAGTTAAAAGGTTATGAAACATACCAAGTTATTAAATTGAATGAATAATATAATAAAATAATAAATAATAATAATAATTGTTATTAATATTAATTAATAATTGAATAATATACTAAATATTAAATATTATTAAATTGTTTACGTTAAAATATATTAATTAATTATATTAAAAAAAAATAAAGATAGCCAAAGAAGTATAACTTCTTACGCGCGTACATAAGTACACGCACCCTTTTTTTAATTTATTTCTGATTGTGTTCAATATCTAGTTTATATTGTACAATACGATATTATTAAAATACATTTCTCCCTAAATACTTGAAATTTTAAGGCATAATCGTCAACGTTTGGCTAATGCTCAGACGCCGAGTTACAAAATTGATCGAAGTGCTTCTTAAAATACACTTTTCCTAAAGCAAGATTATAACATTAAGGTACTGTAATCTGTAAGTGCAACAAATATTTACAGAGCTTTTAAGATCTTATGTAGCGATAGATTAAGTAACAAGTAATGTTAAACAAGGCGTGTTAAGAAATTCTTCGTTAAACTTACTGCTTGTCTTTGAAAACGGTTTATTTTCTTACTTTTGTGTTTCATGTTAACGTTGAGATGCATTCAATTTGTGCTTCTAAGAACATTGTTTTACGTTATTCCCGAATTGCTCTCTCTGCCATTAATAATAGTTCGTTGAACGGTTTTTATGTATTTAAGGCTGGCGACTGTTAGGAATCAGACTCGTCCTTGCTTATTTTTATCAGACCGCTGAAATAAAAATTTCGTATGCATTACGATTTTGGTCTTAAACTACGGAGGTAATATTTGTTTACTTTAATGATCGTGCATTTAAGTTAAAGTTAAAATGGAATGCGCAGGTTTATTTATAAAATAATAACTTAACAATAATTATACATATTAAGTATATTTAAGGAGCTTTCGTGAAAGCGATTTTTTATGATTATTTTATGTAATTGGATCTCCATATTTGTGATTCTTAATGATCTTTACTTGTAAGTAAAAGTGAACAAATAAATTATATGGAAATATGCGAAAGTGGGGCACAATAACCCCTCTCTCCATATATTTTATTGTGATCAAAGTACTTTTGGTTTTATACCTCTTTATTATCATTACTGCAAAGGAAATCATTAACGACTTACTTACTTAAAGTAAGTAAGGAATAATATCGATTTTTTTTTATATTAACCATTCCATATGTATATATAATAGTAGCTGGTGTTACGGTCAAAATAGGTAGTATTGTAAAAATATAAACGTTCATCACTGCAAGCTTTATGGGAGATTAATATACATTTAGTTGGTATATTGTATAACTACAAATACCCTGTATGTAAAGAGTTGTCTAATACCAATATGTTAGCGGGTGGCAGTGCAACATGGGCGAGTCACGAGCAGCAACTATCTCGCTAATGAGAGATCGCGCCAGATAACTTGGCCAGTGTGCTTCACTGTTATAGGATGCACGCGAAACTAACATGAAATCAGTAGGAAAAGACTACGTCTACGTACTAAGTCCACTAATTTTAAAGCAAAAAACAAAAGTTTTTTGTTATTTGTAACATACTCCAATCGGAATCGGAATAAAATAAATTAAATCTTCAAATTTCACATCGCTAGTTGAGGAGTAACAAAAAAAGCTCCCTTGTATTGTGATTAGTTATTGTTGGATTTTTCTGTATGACAATGCTCTTAGGCAACGAAGTACCTACAAGTCACGACCAAGCATTTGCTTAAAGTAATTATGGGCAGAGTTAATTGAGAGGTTTCATGCCCAAGTTGTTTGTTGAACAGGGAAAGTCATGCTTTATGATTAGAAAGCCTTAGAATTTGACGCGTCATTGAATATAACCTACTTGTAATACGTTTCAAATGGTTTATTAAAACTTATACACGAAAATGTGTACTTATGAACATTCAAAGCCTTTATTACAACTAATACAAGAGAAACAGAAGAGTTTACAAAATATAAGTGTATATAAAAAAGTTCTTTAAGGTTTTGTTGCACAGCTGTCCTCTTGTACAGCTTGCCTTTGTGGCACAAAGCTGTAGCCAGCTGTTTCCAGTGCTTCCTATCCCTGGCAAGTCTTTGCCACAGAGGACCAGTGGCTTTTTTGAAGTCATCAGCCCACCGAGCACATGGTCTTCCTCTCTTTCGCTTGGTGTTGTAGCGAGGTGTCCATTGGGTGACTTTTTTCGACCATTTTGAACATACGTATATCTTAATAGTAACTCTGTAAAACAATACAACAATTATTCTATTGGACCTGTCTGAAATAGTAAATTAAAAGATAATTCGCCGAAAATTTACTCATAAAATAAGGATAACGCGACCACACATAATATGTTATATATGTAAAAAGATTTCGGCCATCATTTTCAGGATCCCGACTAACATGTTATAACTTATTTAAATCTAAGGTTGAGAAAAACACAAAAATCTCAATAATATTAGATTGAGTTAAAATAAATAGGATATTACTAAATTCGAGAGATTATTTTACTCTTCTGATATGATGACATAAGTCTACGATTGGGGATATAATATGAAGATTGGAAATTCGAATCGATGCACCACACACGAAGGCCGATCCATTGGGCACTAAGATATGCCAATTGAAAATTCTCTTCCCAAATTATAATGCAATACAAGTTTAATTAAATGTTTAAGGCTAACAGAGGCATCTTCATTACCGACTTGCTGTGCAGCATTTCAACATTTAAAATTTAAATCTTAAAATTAATTAATTAAAATGCCGATTGTTCTTTACTACAAATACCGGTAAACATCATGAACAAATGTCCATGCCTGCTAAAAGCGATTTTTAGGTATCACTTCGGTGGTACGCGGTGGCGGGAGAGTGATTGGTAAATCAGTTGATGTTTGTGTCCCGCGCTGCGTCCGATTGTTGTACGATGCGCAAACTTTCCCCCACTCCCTAGTTTAAAGCTCAAGAAGTTTGCCGGTATCTGTACTTGTGTAATGTTTTAGTAACAATAAGTGTGAATGCTACGTCTACGGTTCTAAAGTGGTGGAGAAATTTGTCGTAAAAACTGTCGTTTCATTATCAAAATAGAATTTGCTGTTGATAATAACTCAATACATTTATTAAATGTAATTGTTCATAAATATTATGTATAAAGCAATTACAGTGGTACTTGTATTTCACTGTAAATATTATTGGTATAATTGAAGGTTGTAAATTACGTTCATTCATCTTGGAATATGGCTCGCGGGCAAAATTCTGGAAGTTGTCAGTTCGGTCCTTTAGTGGCTTCGGCAATAAAGTTTGGACAATGGAGTGTACCGCTGTTTGCGGTGGACCACCGACGGCGTTTGTTATTTGTCACTTTTTATTCAAAGCGAGCGAGTGGCTAGAACATATTTTTCAATAAGTGGCCAAACAGCTAACTCTGTTATTTACCGGCGTAAGTTAATCATTTTGCTCATATCATATAAATGTAGTCGCCATAATGAAGTAGATGCCAATTGTTAACAATGCAGGGGTTGAATGGCATTTTTATGGGAATTTATCGCTAAGTGAGGAACTAGGCGCAGCCAGGGAAACGTGATGCCACAGCAAGTAGGAGCGGTCTTTGACGTGAAACGATGTTTACCTTTCAATACTTAATAGAACGATAGAGTTCCCTTTCGTTAGTTGTACTGTTATTTCTATATCCTTTTGCTTTATCGGGAATTGTAGGCGCTAAGTGTTTATGAGGGCTCACCATGTGGGCACGAAGCACGAATGCTATAATGAACCCTTTGTTTCGTTAATTGGATATGGGGGTTTGCCCGATGCTTTAATTTGCACTTTGGAAATTGACGTCAACGCGGCCCACGTCCACAAAAGCGATATCCGACATTTGTTTAATCTAAAATTTAGGCCCTTCGCTTTCTCGGCCGCTTTAAAGTGTTTAGATAGGTGATGTCGCAACTTGTAACATCGGTAAAACAATGAGGACTTAATTGTATCTCCGTGCTTTTACCTATCCCGAAGGTTCAATGACCCCTGTGGGTGTTATGCTATTTATTCACTACACGAAGATCAAGAACAATAGTGGAATGATAATGTTAATTCGGTCATATCTTTGTGTGCGATTCAGTGAGTGTGTCTTTGGTATTACGAGTTCCAGGTGTAGGTATATATATTATATAGGTGTGGTAGTGTAAGATTTAGACAAATACTAGACAAGCTTTTTTCATACACTAGTGTTCTCCATAACTCGTTTACTAAATTTCAAGATAGAATACTAGAGAATTTTCGTCTGGAATGTGTCTTTATTAAAGTTTGCTAGTCTACTTTTAGTTAATCGCTAAACTCCGTTTAACGGTACATACTATATAAATACGGTAATACAAATGCATGAATCTCGTGGATTGTGGTCCAATGATAGGGTTCTCGGAGCATAACCAATGTTAAATTGAATGCGGGATGATGGAATGGGCAGAGTAATCGATTCGTCTGCGTCATGATGGATAGTGTTGTGTTACAAAACGAAACAATGAACGTTGACAATTGGACTTTCTCTTCTAAATCGTTATGTTGGCGTTGTGATTACGGGAAACCATTAGTTGACGATGACAGAGACTTTGCAGTACATATTAATAATTAAATAGGCGATGTTCGTGTAATTATTCCAAGATAAAGTCGCGAACACCAGATAGTATCACAACATAAGTGAACGATCGACCCTAATACCAAATATGGGCTTCTTAATTTTAATTTATTTTGAATACGTATTCTCAAGAAATCTCTTGTTAATGAAACGACGAACTAGGTAATAAGCCTACTTATTTATCACCTCGTAAACATCCATTTAAAGCGTAACCGAATCCTGTATAATTAATTACTAAATTGTAAATCAGCTTAATTAATACGTTTTAAGTTAATTAAATGCGAGTTATACCTAATCAGTTGCTTGTAAAGGTGAAAGACACTTTATGATGAAAAAAATTAAATAATATTTGATTCAGTAGGTATATCTCTATATATGTATATAAAATTCTCGTGTCACAATGTTAGTTCCCATACTCCTCCGAAACGGCTTGACCGATTCTTATGAAATTTTTTATGCATATTCAGTAAGTCTGAGAATCGGCTACTATCTATATTTCAAACCCCTAAGTGATAAGGGGTGTCCACCCCAAATTTTTTTTTAAGCATTTTTTTTTGTTTTTATATTTTTATTATACAGCATACAAAAATACATACAATCCTTAATTTTCACCCCTCTACGATCAACCCCTATTTTTTATAAGTTAATTAAAATCTTATGACTTGAACTTTGAGGTTTATATAGAGAAAAAATAACTGAAAAACCTAAAAAGTTTTCATTCCAGAAAACCGAACAGTCTTTGGGGTAGATAGCAAAATGTTTCATGTTGGTATCATGTACTAAAAAGGTAGGCTAAGTAAAATCACACACATTAAGAAGAAACGTAGTTCGCGGGGGCAGCTAGTATTTAAAATAAAAAAAAGCTATTGTAGCCTAAATGTTGGTAACTTTAAACCTCAGAAAAGCCTTTTAGGTCCGTATAATCACTTGGTTACAAATACATTTAAAAACGTTTTATTCAATGTGGCTTCTACTGTTTCAGGCTCCTAGTTGGTGCACCTCTCGGCCAGAATCTCCAGCCGAACACGACAAAATCGGGTGCGTTGTGGAAATGTCGGCTGTCTACGGCACTGCGCGACTGTGAACAAATCGTCACGGATGGAAAAAGAAGTGAGTAGCGACTGGCCGTTAATTAGACAAAAAAATTACATCGAAATTATTCACAGTGTATAGAACCTTAATATCAACAACAGTGTTAGCAGACATTTTGTATTTCATACTCTCCAAAGTATATATCGGTACAACAAGTATTCTGTAGTATGCCATAGAGGTCACCTAACGTTTCTATAACCATGTTTTAACTTAATGAATGAGCAGCCAGAAAAATAAGAGTAGATTGTATCTATTGTGTAATATACGCCTTAAAGCAATGTACATGACTTCATTGCCATCTAGGCTATAGGTATTAGTTCACATTTAACTAGTGTAGTTTACGCTTACAAAGCCAGTAGATAACGTAGACACATTTAGTGAATCTAGTTCACACATTTTGTCACTATGTAGAATTGAATTTTATAGAGATTATAATTTCACATATCGTAAGCATTTCCCTGTCTAATTTGAGGAACTGTAGGTTGTCGACATATTTTAACTAAATTGTTGTCTTTTGTCGGTGGTGCCCCAAACAGCGAAGTACGGCAAGATAAATACCAGTAAGTGAGCTGTGGTCTCAATCTCCATAAATCCTTGACTAATACCGACTAATCGCTGTTCCATATTACTAATCGTTAATTACCGCTCTGTTGACTTTAAGCGCATGTTAAACTAACTTTCTTAATTTAATTTGCACCTTTACTTGGGAGTTATTTCTTTAGAATATTGAAAATCCTAGAAATAACACCTAAATTGCATACGATGACTCAGCACTATAATAGCTTGCAACGCACCCACTCACTACGCTTGCTAGAGCACTTAATGTAATGAAAATTGTAGTTATTAATAATGTATTTATTCAAATATCCAAGTTAAGTAAGAAACTGCTTGGCTATAATGATTTAGACATCAGTAATCAAATAGCTAGAAAAAAGTAAAACGCCAGCCCAAATGAAGACGCACAAAGAGTGTTTGTGGCCTAAATTCTAGGAGAGGTACATAATGACAAAATAACAACTACATAGGTGATTGGTTTAATTAAGAATTTAACCCATAAATCAAAGGTCTTGGAAATAAACTGCACTGCAACCAATCGCAAAACCACTTTATTTCTGGTAGAAATCGTCTAACAAATCATAGAACCTCTGGGCCGATTAAACTAATAAGCGATAACCTTCGAATTAAACATTGGTGTTTTTGGTGAATTAACGAATCGGCCGTTAAAGTATCGCTCAAAATTAACAGTAGATCTTGATTGATTAACCCGAGACCACACGATTTGCGTAGACCACGCCCTATCTCCATGAAATTCGTTACAGGTTCCGGTGTACACTTTACGTCTCGTGGAATGTCAAAAGTGCATGTTTAGTGTTTGCTGAAGAGAAATGTTAGTTGATCACATTCGCACGTTATCTGTGCAACTTGACACAACACTTATTTTGCAAAGGTTTTGTTTTTGCCACAATGTCTATAGCATTCACGCCTGGTTGCAATGCTTTGCATTTGCCAAGGAATCTTGGTCTATCATTGGGATATTTAAGCCATCTCTCTGAAGTGAAAGCAATATTTTCCACGACGTTATTGCTTTAGCTTCTTTACTTTAAGAATATAGTTTTAATGTGTTATATTAATATGTTTGGGTTGAATTTCGTTTCTGGCCTCGTCGCAGTTTTTTCTAATGATATGACAATTTAATTATTTATTTTTTAAATGATTAATCTATCTTAGCTTAAATTTGTTGAAATTAGGTGATGTGAATGCATTATGCTTTATATCCGATCACAATGGTGCAATATTTAATAATCATCACCGTCGTATAGCTTTGGACTCCTATCATCTGTCTGGCCCGCATCCCGATGAAATCAAAGACGGTCAGTGGCTGGGAGTGTCGGTTCGCAGTCAAGGCCCTGGGAAGAAAGCTGTAGTTTGTGCACATAGGTAAGCATTATTTAACTTTAAATTTAACTACTTTATATTGTATTTACTACTAACGAGTGATATATTATAGATACATCAGAAAGTCGGGGGAGTCTCAGTTTGGGCAAGGTCTGTGCTACACTCTGGGTAACGACCTTCAATTAGTGGATGTATGGGAGCCGTGTCGAGGTCGATCCGTGCAAAGGTATAATTTAATTCTTGTTATGATATCATTACTTTTTATGACGGAGTTGTGCGTGAAGCTGGTTTTACATTATTGTATATGAAAATAAATTGAGCGTAATTCGTTATGATGACCAAATAATTCGTTAGTTAGAAATTAACGTTAACCGCTGTTTAAAATATGTCAACTGATTAATTCTACTACTACGAGTATTTAAATTTTCTGACTTCGCTATCGTAAATGCATCTATGGCTGGGTAACCTTGACCTTTGGGTCCTCCAGCGAAACAATAATGGTTTAGAAGCCTCAGAAGAGGCCGACACTACCTTGCCTAAACATAAACATGTTCGATTGAGGTTTAAACATAAATTCATAAATAGACTCAGTAATGTGTCTGCTCATTTATTCATATAGGATTACAGTATCACGCACAATTTTAACCCAGTATTCAACAGATTAAGACGGAAAATAAAGGGAGCAGGCAAGCAAAGCACATCCGTATACAATACAATGAAATGTTCTCTAATATTTCAGAGAACACGAAGAGTTTGGGTTCTGTCAAGTTGGAACCAGTAGTTCTCTGCTGGAAGACGACACTTTAGTTTTGGGCAGTCCTGGTCCGTACACTTGGCGAGGAACGATATTCACCCAGGACACCAACGATGATCTAATAGAACGAGATCATGTGGTCTACATGGGCCCCGTGGAAGATGGCTACAGTCCCGTCGAAAAATATAGCTATTTAGGTAAGTGCCGTACCAAAACCATTCTTCGATGACTTTGTGGATCGAAAGGTTTTTGTATAGTGAGATCTTTAGATGAACCACCTCAAACCGTTTTCTTTGATTTGCCCCATTGGATTGTTAAAAAAACCTTCAAGTAGCCACACCTTGTACGTACGAATGTAACATTGCAGGAATGTCAGTATCAGGCGCAAGTTTTTTTGGAGACAAGCCGTCATACGCTGCAGGGGCACCTAGAGCCCACGGCACTGGCCAAGTTGTGGTTTTCAGTAAACGAGTTATTAACGACTGGGCAAGAACTGATGTAGATATTTTAAATTTCACCTTGTTGTTGAGTGGAGAACAGTTTGGGTCCAGTTTTGGTTATGAGGTTGCGGCAGCCGATGTCAATGGAGATGGGTACGTAATGTCCTTCTACTTTTACGCAAAAGCGAGCCGTAATAGCTAAAACTTATTTCAAATCTAAATTCAAATAAAACGTTGTAGTCAAGTGTTTCCTTACTGTTTCAGCCTCCCAGACCTCTTAGTGGGTGCGCCTTTTTATTTCTCACGCGACTCCGGCGGTGCCGTTTATCTCTATCTCAATAAAAACCACAATCTACCTAAAGAATATTCTCTCAAACTAACGGGGAAAGAGGAATCTCAATTCGGAATAGCCATAGCCAATACGGGAGACCTAAACAAAGACGGGTGTGAAGATATAGCGATCGGAAGTCCTTACGAAGGGAACGGCGTCGTCTACATACACATGGGAGATCGGAAGACTGGGCTCAAACTGAAGGCGGATCAAGTGATTAAAGCCGAATCGTTGCCAATAGTTATGAAGACATTTGGCTACTCCTTATCCGGTGGAACCGATCTCGATGCTAACGGATATCCCGATCTGTTGGTCGGCGCTTATGAAAATGTATGTACCTCGTTTCACTTAAATTTATATATGTAAGACCTAATGACTCTGTTACAGCAATAATGAAATACTAAAAGGGAGATTTCCATTTTTGCAGAGTAGCGTGGCGTTAATTCGTACGAAACCGATAATAGATATAAAGACATCGATTCGACCGTCGAATACAATAATTAACATCGACCCGACGACACAGGGTTGTGAAAGAGATCCCAATTCGAACTACACGTGTTTCCATTTCCAAGCATGCTGCATAATTAAATCTCTAGTGAGATCGTCGCACAGCAACATTCATGAACTGAATTACGTCGTGGAAGCTGAAACGTTTCCCGGTGGAAGAAAGTATTCCAGGGTGTTCTTCGGTTCAGAGAAATCGAACATCATAAACCAAACTATACATTTGGGAAAAGACGAGGAGCTCTGTCGCGAGCATATCGTGTACCTCAAGAATAACACCAGAGATATACAGACCCCTATCAGAGTGAGTTTATTGGTCACATGCTATTTTAAACCAGGCCTTCACAAATTGAAGAAAAGCATTAACATTGATTTTACCGTGTACCTTTACAGTTTCAAGTGACGTACAAAATTGTCCACGTAGACCCTCAGTTCTCGAGCGGGGGCCGTCTGCCGGACATAGACGAATACCCGGTGCTGAACGCCACGGCCACCACGGCCTTCAGCGCCAACTTCTTGAACGACTGCGGCCTCGACGCCGTCTGCGTCAGCGATTTGGTCGTGGAGCCCGTTCTGCGGCTGCCCAAGAGTGAGAATTTAAAGCTAATTTTTCATTTTCAATTTTTAACGTAAAACCAACTCGGAAGCAATTTTGATACATTTTTGCAGCCGAAGATGGAAAGGCGTACGCCCTGACCCTGGGCCAAGAGGAAGAGATCCACCTCTCCGTGTCCGTAGACAACTTGGCCGAGTCTGCTTACGAAGCGCAACTCTTCGTGCAGCATCACGCCAGTCTACATTACATCGCCGCTAACATCAGTGTAAGATAAGGCAGAGTTAACTTTCGATACCTTTTGCTCAAAGGGGATCGTTTCCTAGATTTATTTTTGTGGTTCGTTCCAGGGCAAGCACATGATTTGCACGAGCGTGAACAAGACGATCGTCTCATGCCTCCTCGAGAACCCTTTCAAGAAGCAAGCCGAGGGAGCGGCCATCACCATCCGCTTCGACGCCAGAGCCTTGGAGGACAACGAGCCCTCCGTGGTGTTCTCGATCTGGGCGAACTCCACGTCCAGAGAGCTCCACCCCGGGAAGAGACCGGTTCGCGTCGAGGCGCTGGTTATTAAGAACGCCGAGTTGCTCATCAAAGGGTACGTTTTAAAATTCTTTATAGATTTGAGATTTCTCTACGTATATAACGTATATACTGAGCTGTAACATAAAAATGAAAATATTCCAGAGCCGCGCGGCCCGAACAAGTGTTCTACGGAGGCGAAGTGAAGGGAGAATCTGCCATGACGTACTTCGACGATGTCGGCACCAGAGTCATTCATACATATCAGGTGATTGGCCTTTCTTGATCTTTTAACTCCTTTTGGGGCTCTTAGCCTTATCAGGTCATGTACAGAAACGACATTAAGTTCACTCGTTACTTAACTTATTCCAGGTGTTCAACGAAGGCCCGTGGCGCGTGTCCTCTCTGCAGGTGGTGATTTCGTGGCCCCACCAGGTGTCTTCGGAGAACGATCAGGGCAAGTGGCTGCTCTACCCTGAAGACGTGCCCACCGTAGACGGAGAAGGCGGTCAGTACTTCCGATCTCTTTTTTAGGTCCTTTCATTTCATAAAGTTGTTATACAATTCTTTGTACTTATAACGCCATTGTCAAATATGGTGTTTTCGTCCGTGACCACTATTCAGCTTTAAACATATTCACATAACTTTAATTAGTTAATTCAAATTTCAGATCAAAGCAACGGGGAATGTTTTATTTCGGAAAGCGAAATTAATCCCCTCAAACTGACGACACGCCCCGGCACCTTCGAGCCCTATCTAGAGAATCTAGAAATGGACCCCTTCCTCAGTTCGGGCAAACTGAGCGTATCTTCTAGCGAAAAAGAGAATAACTCTACGCGCAAGAGAGGAGTGGAGAATAAGATCAGGAGGAAGAGAGACAGCGATATCGTGAAGGCCGAAGCGTACACGGACAAGGATGGCCTGAGGAAGCACGTCGTCAACATGGTATGACTCTTTCGAATATCGACTGACGTGTTTTTACTCGTCCTCACGGCGCCGTTCTCTTATAGAATTGCCAGAAGAAGACGGCCAAATGCATCCAGTTCCAGTGCGTGATCTACCGCTTGGGACGGATGCAGGCCACCACCATCACGGTGAAGGCTCGGCTGTGGAACTCCACGCTCGTGGAGGACTACCCTCGGGTCAGCCACGTCAACATCGCCTCCGCGGCCTTCATCCACATTCCCGAACATTACAACATTCACCAGAGCGACCACCGCGACGACACCGCCACGGTAACCTTCCATCCTTTAGCAACACTTTCGCCCTCTAGCTTTACACGCACGCCCTAACTCTTGACGGTGACTTCGGCAGGTGGAGACGGTGGCGTATCCGGATCTGAAGATAAGCGAGCCTTCGGAGGTGCCTCTGTGGGTGATTATAGTGTCGATAATCGTGGGTCTCGTGGTGCTGGTGCTCCTCATCATAGCCCTCTGGAAGCTGGGCTTCTTCAAGAGGAGCAGACCGGATCCGACCCTGTCCGGGAACCTGGAGAAGAACAATCACGAGTCTAGTCCCTTCATCGGCCGCGACCGCAACGGCGTTCGATAGCTTTGGCGGTCGGGGCTCGTTTCGGGTGAAGGCTTTTTAGTTAATGTCAACGACTGTGATGCTCCGTCGAGGAATTAAAATATTTTGTATGTGTGTGTGTATGAGACGGAACTAGATTATTGTTACGCCCTTATGAAAGGTATAACTGTTGTTTTTATTGCATTTTTAGGGTAATTGAGATTTTAAAAGGTTTTATAAATTGATATTTTTAAAGATGGTCACGTTCGACTTAAATTTCGTCTTTTAAATTATATCGAATGCTAGATCGGTCTCTAAAATCGTATCAAAAAGATACGAAAATTAATTCACTGATTTTAAAATGTTTTTAAATTCCGGCTTCGGTTACAGATTACTTTAAAAATATTATTATATAAAAAATTGTTTTTGTAAATACTTGCCTTATTATTTATAGTTAAGCGAAGGAGTCGACTAGATTTTTGCTAGTCACGTAAAATAGGCGAAAAAGCTGTTGTTATTTTACTTATAAACGTATGTTTAGCGAAAGGGACACTTAAATTTGCTACTTAAATATTTCCAAAATATAAAATATTATTTTATATGCCTGTATATATTGAATTATAATTGATATACAAAATAATTATGAATGATTACGATGGCTTGTCGCGTGTAAATACTTCCCTTATCTTTTATTGAATCAATATAATTTATGCAAATTATGTAAATGACGAGATATTTCACTGACATTTAATTGCTATGATTAAATTATTTAAGCATTAGTTCATAAGTGTACATAGAAAGTAGTATTTATACTTAAATTTTGTACTAAAACTTGTTGAGTTATATTTCGCAACGACGGTCCTCGTGTACTTATTAATATTAGGTAAATATCAGGTCTTAAAGTAGTGGTTGTGAATATATTTTGTCAAAATAATGCTTAGACACGACTTATGAAATAAACAAATGGTGCCATTTATTTCCCTCGTTTTTTACTTATTGAAACCGTAATAAATTCAAAAACTTCTTCGACTTCAAAATACCTGCAGATATATATTAGCTACCTAGGTAAATATAAAATAATACTAAACCGATTTTGATGAAACTTGGACTGTTCCGTGATTCAAAACCATCCCGATACGAATTTTAGTTTCCGAGAAATACGAATTGAATAGTTGTTTAAAGAACTTTTTTTCTTATTATCGCAAGGAGTGGTGTGTTTGCTTTGTTTAAATATATTTGATAAATTACTACGGAGAGGGTTTTAAAATGTTTTTGAAGTGAAAACTTCTTTAGCGGCGTTGTACACTTTTTTTGGAATGAGTAAAAAATTTTAAACTAGCGTCAGGACAAATTCGTAAGACGGATGTTTTTTTAAAGGATAATGAACTTTCGTGCTATATAGTTACGGTTTTAATTAATTTGTCTCTTTCCTCAGATACATTGATGCATGTGGAATTGGACCTTAAGTCAATACATCAAGGTTTAATTTTTGCGCAACGTCTAAAGCTTTATTATTAACGATTTGGTCAGACTGACGCGAATAAACAATGGCAACTTAAAAAATAGTGAATTTTCCTAATTGAATTATTTAATACGAATTTTAATTATTTTGTGTAGGTTTCGTAAGACGGATGGAGAGTAGACAGTGTCATGTTTGTGTACGATAGCGCAATAAATAAATATTGTATTCTACCACATAAATGACAGTACTTTTATACTGATAATTAAAGCAATTCGTGCAAAATTATTCCCTAACCATTCCAAAATATCAAAAATGCACAACGTTAATATTCAATTTTTTATTACACTGCCCTCTCGTAGCGTACAATAGAACTACTGCGACGCTATAGTTCAAACAGCCACACAGTTGTTATAGTCTTATCGGGTTCTGAGTTTTCTAACTAGATGGCAGTTACATTCATATTTTTGAAGTGTGAAAACTTCTTTAGCGGCGTTGTACACTTTTTTTGGAATGGGTCAAAAATTTTAAACTCGCGTCAGGACGCGTAAACTGATCGAAAATTCGTAAGACGGATGGAGAGTAGACAGCTGGCGCGGCGTATTTAATGTAATATAAATTGTCATGTTTGTGTACGATAGCGCAATAAATAAATATTGTATTCTACCACATAAATGACAGTACTATTATACTGATAATAATTAAAGCAATTCGTGCAAAATTATTCCCTAACCATTCCAAAATATCAGAAATGCACAACGTTAGTATTCAAGTTTTCACTTCTGCCGGCACTCCCGGAGTGCAACCCGTAGTTTTTTTTATTAAAGTGCAAGTGATGTCAACCTAAAGTTGTTTAACTATCATAACTTTGGTTTTTGATTTTATTAGTCTGTGTTATAAAATAGTGTCTATTCTTAGTCATTTATTTAGTAGTGTTACAAACACTACTTAAAAATAATAATGCATGCTGTACCCCATATTTCAATCAGATATATGAAATGCGGTTTGACTAAACACTTAGAAATATTTAAAAAAATTCTAAAACAAAAACTCAAGTTTTTTAAAACAAAATAACAAAAAAAATAAAAATAAAAAATAATGACAATGAATGATTGAAAAAAAAACAATAATATAATAATAAAACACTATTTTGACCGGATTGAAGTTATGTATTATTATAAATTTACAACTATTTAACATAATTTTAAATAGTTGTAAATTTATAATAATACATAACTTCAATCCGGTCAAAATAGTGTTTTATTAAATGAATAAAAGTTATGTTAATCAAAGACAATAATAATATAATAAAAAAATATATAGTGACGCCATAACTCTAAGGTGAGGAAAAAAAATATACTTAAATAAATGTATATACAAATACACAGTCGTATTTTAGTTTTTTACAAATTATAATTAAACGACAGTACTTAGAACGCTAATATTAACTAGGAATCAGCCCAGGGTATAACTTTATATAATAAGAAAAAAATATTCTGGTACGATAAATTTTTCGACCAATTTCTCTGCCACATACATAGATCCATAAACACAGACTGACGGACGTCCAAGATTGATTGATTTTAATGTTATTATTTACTATGTTAAACAAAATAATTGTTCATAAAAAATACCATATGTGCTCGATAGATTATTTAACTCGATTTTAGTGCACTCATATTATCCTGTAAGTGTTATATTAGTGAGAAAATTTATAATATGGATATGTTCTTGAACTTTAGGTGGTTGCAAGATAGGAATGAGTTTATCTGTTGCCCTAAATATTACATAGGATGTTTTTGTAAAATTAATTTGTAACAGATTTTGTGGAAACTGAGCAGATAGAACATTTAGCTCTGCTTAAGCTTGAGCAACCATAGTCTGGATATTTGAAGTGGAGAACCAATTACGAAATTTAGCAGATTAGAAGCCCAAATAGACCGTGATACTCAAATGTTATCCGATTCTAGAAATATCACATACATATTGCCATGTCAAACAGATTAAGTACCTCCTTTAACCGAGATTTAAATACCTGTTAATACATATTACATACTAATGTTGGTTAGTAAGTATAATACAATTTTTTTTTTGTAACTTTTAATAAAGTTACGTTATTTTAGAAGCAATCTACCAAATAGATTACCGTTAGTTGAAAAACATGTGGTCTAGAATCATGATTAGTCTATTATATATTTTACGTTTCCTGTATATTTATACAAAGAATATACTAGGTATACCTACTATAACTAATAATTTAATATCAATTGTATATTTACAACAATTCTCATAAAAAATATCTCGTAGATTTAGTTAAATTCAATAACATATATGAGATCAAAGAAGCCTAGTAGGGTACTTGATAGTATTCATGAGTCCGTGTTGCAGTAGATTTCTGTAAAAAAATATGGTCACATGAATATTTATATTGGTTTTGTAAATTGACGGGAGTATTGGTTCAACGAGGAACCAGACCATGCAAGTACCTTCCTTGAGGGCTAATACAAACAATTTTATATTTTTATTATTAATATACGTGACACATGTGTGATGTGTGAAATATTTACGTAAAATTACATTAATACGTTAAAAAAAAACAAAAGTATAAATGATGACAATTCTCACCCTTACTTCTTTTTTAACAGAAGACCAGCAAAATGTACACAAAGGTGTATTTTTATGATCGAAGTCATTATGTTTCAGACACGGCTGTTCCATATCACCTGAAAAAAGCTAGATCTTAGTATACGAGTAGGATAACAATTGTTGTTAATATTTTTCGTTTAGTTCAATCTTAAGAATGCGCAACGCTGATGACTAAGGCATTAATTTTTTTAGATTTAGTATTACAATCCAACCGGTCGTTCTTTTTGTTGTAGAAACTCTTTGTCTATGGTCTATGGATTTTATTTATGATGTGCGAAAGCGCCACTTCTAAATCTTAATTTATAATTGCAATTTAGACAGGAAATGCCAATGAACTGACCTGTATATAATTGATTGTCTAGATGGGTAATGTAGCTACCGGCCAGGCGCAGTACCTCGATTTTGCTGAGTTTGCGATCTGGAGGCTCCGTCGGGATGAGCAGGCGCAGGGCGTTGAAAGCCATGTTCACGCTGCTTGGGAGTTTACATGGACTATAATTTTTAGTTAGATAATTATAATCTACCTAATTTGGTACTAGTGAAATTTGTTAGCGTTTTATGAGATTTGACCAGTTTTCAATGTTCTTTTACTATATTGGCAACGGCACTAATAAGTTAAACTACTAACTTTTGTGTACGATCTCTTTCTCGCGCGTTGGCTTGACATCGCTGTTTCACAGGTGCGCTTGTCCCACGCTGTACAAATTGTTCCCAACCTTGGCTGTATTGATTCAAATTATCCATAGAGACTGATGTCGTGTTTAATTTTTACGCGTATGGTTTGATCGAATACAAAATGAGTACTAAGCGAGTCCTTGGTCGAGTTCTGTCGTTATATGACTCCAGATGGATATCGTTCATGAAGGAGTCATTTAGGAAGAACAGCGCGCGCCACTGACTTGCCTCTTAACTGATAATTGTATAAACAGATGCCTTCCGATGAGACAGGGCCGGATTTAACATAAGGATCGACTAATTTTTAGTTTTTACGTTCAATGGCGCACACGTGGCATAATAGAAACGGACTTATATAAACCCTGTCTTTGATTACCAGTAAAAACAATATATTGCTTTGACAGACAGAAAATTCTAATTATCTATTTGCATAATAAGCACAGAAGTGCAACCGAAATATGGTCGAAGAGTTACAATTTTTAATTAGCTTTATTTTTACACACATATACACATCTTTTATAAATAAATATTATTTTATTTATCTTTAACGATATTTATGCAAATAATAGCCGTTAGTTCAGATCTGTTGTGGCGAATGGCTGAGATGTCATCAAGGATGTAAAACTCGGAACCCTCTTTGCCACGTCACTATTTGTTTAAGCTAACTACACTCATAAATATTTTTAACGTCTTTGTTGATTAGTTATATTGCGCTTATCTGCTATTAAGATGACAAACATAATTGTTGCTAGGTTTCTTCTTTAGCCGAAGTAGAATTATCGTCAGACCAAGAGATTTGTAACAATGTACCTAAGGGTAATGTTGGCTCATTAATCATGATTTCGGTTTATATCTCAATTCTATTGTAATCCTAAATTATTAAATTCCAATTCAAGTGATATTAACTAAACAATTGTACTTTTGCGACTGACTAAAAGTAAATGTAGTATACAAATACATTTTTATATTCATTGACTCGTTTAAGTTCACATATATCTTGTTATTAAATAGCACTTGAAAAACAAATCAAATACAACTTTAATTGTTAAAAAAAATTAATTTAGCATTCCCAAAGGATGCTGATGTTTCGTGGGAACGCATTCTAATTGGTTAATTGATACGAGCGGCTCTAATAGACTCATTCATATTCATTTGTACTTCTAACTAGATCCACATTGGAACAAAAATTTCTGTTTTTTGAATTCTTCTGATTTTACCACACTTTCTCATGTAAATCTGTAGTTATTCGGCCGTTAAGGTTCATTGTTAATTAATATCATTCAAATCTCTTGTTTTCTCACTAAAATTTTCGTAAGTGAATTAAAAATATGATATTGTGTTGCATATTAATGCGAAATCTATTCTTGCCTATTACGTTTTAAATTTATACGAGTGTGATGTTGAGATCTAGTAGACAGGCTTGTGACACAGACAAAGACGAAGAGGCATCCACACTTCGTTTATCAAACCCAATATTAGGTAGAGGTCACCCATGATCAAACACGGATGCTCATAATAGCAGACGGCTCGACTCTAGAATGAGGATTCTCCGAAGGTTCTACGTCACGTCCCCACCACTAGACGGAGCTCCACGGCCACCACTTTCTCCTCGCGACACCTCAGCTGGAGAAACGGATACGGCGAGTAGTTCACGAACCGCGTGCAAGACGACCGCTTCTATGACGCGCCGTTTCCGTATTATCACTTTCGCCGCGTAAACAATTCCAACGATACGTGTATTTGCAATAAACTGTGGCTCGAGCACGTAGGCATGTGTTGTTAGAGGTAGGTGAAAAGTTTCATTTTGTCTCATAATTAGAAGATTTTCGGTGATAAGTTGACCAGTGTCTCGTGGTGAACGCAAGGACGTTGGCTACCTGACTCGACCGGACGATCTAACGATTTGATGAGCTTTGCTAATTCTATTGTTTTAAGCGTTCAATATTTTGAATAAATTGCGGATAGTTTACATTTTAGGATCTATGTCTTAATGAGTCGTGCATTCATTATAACAAAAACTACCTTTTACCCACGTTTTTACAAAACTCTCCATTTTACAATCCACTCAATTGTTAGTAAGTGTAAGTACTCTTCTTAAAATATATATTCAGGAATCACTCTATCGCTTTTTTTACTTGTCTTAGGATTTTATCTATTTTCCAATAACTAACGAATATTTATACGAATAACACACACGTACCTATTCTGAATTTCTTTGTTCATTATTGTATTTATTACTTTTTTAAAACAATTTTTTTTACCAACCAATATTCAAAGCAATAGTTTTGCGATTTTCATTCAGGTCTAGATTTTGAGTCCGTCTTTAGAACGGGTACGTTATGTTATGAATCACCTAATTTCAATATCCTGCCAACGACCTATTACAATTCTCTTGTCATTGTATCACCGTTACCTCAAGTACATTGTATATGTAGTTGAATTTTTCACAATAAGTATATTCAATTCGTAGAGTATTTTTACTACGATATCGTTATTGTTTTACTTTTTATGAGATAAACTAGGACTTTTGTTTTGTACATATTAGTGCTGTGGAAAATTCACATATACACTATGATGGAATGTCAACTCAAAGGCATCATTATTAATTAAAATTCTGTGTTAGTAAGATCTGTAATTATAATTTTATTTCATTACATCTCCAAGTATTAATATGTAAGTTTGTCAACTAGTGCTATGTTTAAATAGTTTAGTTGTGTGCAACTTTGAAGATTTTTTTCCTATCATTTAAATCAATCGATGAACCTTCAATATAGTCTCATTATATTATGTTTAAATTACCTTAACTCAGTTTGGCTCGTAGCCAATCACTTCGCTTACAAACTATATATTAAGTCTGAATTCGAACTACCTGTTTGAAGGTTTATTTTAAGTATATTGTTAGGTTTTGATGACTTGCCATAAACTTAAATTGGTTGTCGATGTCTAATAATCGGTTAGAACAAACCCGACCTCTAAGTTTCTGTATTATTTGAATGATTAAAGGGCAATAAGATGTTGCTATGGTCATAAAGGATTTAGATGTTTTTAAATACAATTGCGTTGACGTAGAATTGGGATAAAACCCTTTGTTGCCTTAATGAGTATTACGATCAAAATTATATGTCAAATTTATTCTACTTCCATTTTTAACTATTAAAAGCAGAAAGTACTATATTTTGTGTATCTTTTTTTCAAGCTTTACTTGTCCGTCACCGATTCCGATTCTAAAAAAATATGAGGGAATTTTAGTTTTTGCTATAAGAAAGCAATTTTATTGAAGTCCATATACGAGGCCGATTTTCGTATGTACCATAATATATTAAACATAGCTTTAAAATACCCAATTATAGTGTAAATGTGCAAAATATCGGAATATTTCGAAGACCTACTCAAATAATTAAAAAAAAACAAATAATAAATATAGCGTGGTTGAACTGCAATTCCGTAAGATATATTGTTATAAACGAAACGTTGATGTTGTGGTCTCGCCGATTCGCACGTAATCAACACTTCAAATATATGAAGTACTTGTGAGGCGCGAAGACAACGTGACGAAGGCTAGGTTTGCTCATTACCAATGTGTACCATTGTGTGTTTACTATGAGAAGCGCATTCATTTTGCACCTATTTCTGAGAGAATATACAATTTTATAATCTTTGTAAGAAAGAAGTGTAAAGGAAAACAGCATTCGATAGTCGCCAAAACATAATAAACGAATTTTTCTATTTAAAAATTTTTCAGGTACCACTCTTGGTATTATTAACTCTTAACGGGTTTAACTCTTTAAGCCCAGAATCTCGGAGCTATCCGACTAGGCGGAATTGGGGCGGAATTAAAGAAGTCATGGTGTCGACCGCTCAGTGGAGCTATAACCACACATGAATTAGTGTTTGCATTGGATTTCATCTGTTTCCTTGACCATTTTATTTATAGACAAGTAGGTTATCAGCCTTCTGTGCCTGACCCAAGTCGTCGACTTTCAGGTTTAAGAAGTGCCAGTTGCCTCACGATGTTTCCCTTCACCGTACGTAAGAAAACTTAATAGGCACAGTCGGGGTTGGACACACGATTTTCTGGATTAGTAGATGGATAGTTTTTGATCTAGTTTAGATGACTGTTTCTAAGAGCAATAAGGATCTTTATATTATTCAACTTCACAAAAGAATGCGGTTCATGTAAAATGTTTAAATATAATGTTTCTTCGAACATTTGGCATTTTAATGCTTCTGTGATCTTCAAAGAACAGAGTAATCAGAAAAAAGGGAGGAAAATGAGTAGACATGATGTTAAATAGTCAGCCACTGAGGAACGTAGAATAAAATGTTCGAATATATCTCAAGTAATGATTACTTTTACTAAAGAAATCGGAGCCGATAAGCTACCAGTTATAAACTAGGTACGTACCGTGCGCACTCGAAATTTTGAATGTTACACGAAGAACTTGTTATTGCAAAACAAAGACCTTTGCAATTAAAGTACCGTTCATCAGATAAATAATGTATGTGAATAAAAATAGTTGCTAAATATTATGTTTTAACAACTGCCTCACTGTCATGGTTTCATTCGATACATTGTGTAAATGTGCGACAAAAATGAAACATACTATGGACGAACGAGACGAAGTAATGACGAAACAATGCTTTGCCGTCGCAAATCTAGTCCCACCAAATCAGCCAGTGAACCTTTCGAATCCAATTGTAAATTAAAACCATATTAAGATCCACATATGTGTAGTCTAGTCTTCAAAAAATTCGATATATAAAACGAACTTGTATATTTTAACTGATTAAAAACATTTGGTAAGTGGGCCTTGGGTCAAATTCACTCGCCGCTTAACCAACAAGCTTTTGGAAGCAAATAAAATTTTGAAACGTGTCAATTGATTTGATAAATATTTAATTAATATGGATTTATTTTAGCTATCATTAGATTATACTGTCTGTACCTAGTTCGACTCATATTTATTATGCCGTCTTTTCACTATAGCCAATAGAACAGTTAGTAGTATTATTGCAGTTCTAAACCATATAATTTATTGATTTGCTTTTGCTATATAGTAATGAATTGAATTAAAAATCAACTGTGACTAGGTCAGTGATAAAGAAAAAAACAGAATAATCAAAGGTTACAAACACCTTATAAATCATTTATGAAGCATACATATTACATACATTGAGTTTTTATAACACTTAACATTATTGGAACGCCTTTGACTAGATGCCTTATGTACACTACAAAAATTTAACGAGTGATATTTTTTAAGGACTTACTAATGTCTATCTAATAATAGCAATTTACTGCCCACTGGTGAAATAACCTGTGACAGAGGTTATTTCATCAGCGCAATCAGTCAACCCCTTCCTAGTGGGAGTGCCATGCTGTTGCCTTCGGGCTTCAGCCTAATGGGCAGGCACGACCGGGGCAGTACCACTGTCTCTTAGAAATCCGGCGTGAAGTGAGGCAATAGGTTCGCCTTATTGTACTCGCGTTTCGTACGGTGAGGGAGACTCCCGGAGCCCATCCCCCCATATGAAATATGAAGGTGCAGAACAAACAGAATCTACCCCAGGGGGGTACCACACGCGCTCGCGGTGGAGAATCCCCCTCTGGGCGTCCAACACCGGGACACTCAGCACCCGGTGGTGGACGCACAGGCTGCCCTTCGTATTCTGGGGGGGGCAATTCTGCGCTCAACAAAAACAGTCATCGTTCTCGGGGCAAACGGAGCAATTCAACAAAGGCACCCCCGTCCACGCTCGCCGTGGACTTCACAAATGTTAGGGGGCTCAATTCCAATATCAACGCAGTCCACTACCATTTAGAGACTGCGAAGCCGGCCTTGCTCTTTCTTACCGAGACTCAGATTTCCTCCCCGGCTGATACTTCCTACCTCTCCTACCCGGGGTACAAATTGGAACATTCATTTGTGCCGCGGGCGGGAGTTTGCGTGTACGTCAGGGAGGATATCTGTTCTCGTCGCCTCGGGACGCTTGAAGGAAGGGACCTATCTAACCTCTGGCTGCGCGTAGACTGCGATGACCATCCGCGATTCTACGCATGCCTGTATAGGTCCCATAGCGGAAATACCGAAACTGACCGACTCATTGAGCACATCCAAATGGCTACAGATTCCCTGCTCGAAAGGGTTCCTACCGCTGAAATCGTGATACTTGGCGATTTTAACGCCCACCATGCCGATTGGCTCGGCTCTGAAACCACCGATCACGCGGGAAGATCCTTTCACGACTTTGCTTTAGCCTACGACCTGACACAAATGGTCCCTGCGATTACGCGAATACCAGATGTGGATGGTCATAAACCCTCTTTGTTGGACCTTCTGCTGACTTCACATCCGGAGAACTATCAAGTCTCTGTTGACCCGCCATTGGGTTCATCGGATCATTGTGTGGTCCGGAGTACTGTGCCATCTACGCGCCCTTCACGGCCCCGCTTTATGGGTTGTCGCCGTATTTGGCACTATAAGTCAGCAGATTGGGACGGGATGCGGTCTTTCTTTGCGTCCTACCCTTGGGGGCCTATGTGCTTTTCGCCGGAAGCTCCAGATTCCGTCGCCGCCTCTGTCGCCGAAGTGGTTCTGCAGGGCATGGAACTCTTTATTCCATTTTCTGCGGTGCCGATCGGTGGCAAGTCTCAGCCCTGGTTTAAACGTTCTTGCAAGGCGGCCTCGCGTCGAAAGCGAGAATGCTTCAATACCAGCGAACTTAAAACAGCATATAACTCAGCCTCCAGGTCCTTCAAACGGGAAATCACTAAGGCAAAGTCAGAACACATTGCCAGATTTGGCGAGAGATTGGCCCAGCTCCCTTCAGGGACTCGAGCCTTCTGGTCTCTCGCCAAAGCTGTCCAAGGGAATTTTTGTCAGCCCGCCATTCCGCCACTGCACAGGGAGGATGACTCTCTGGCCCACACTGCGAAGGAGAAGGCCGACCTTTTGGGCTGTCTCTTCGCGTCCAACTCGACTTTGGATGACCGAGGAAGATCACCACCGACCATTTCGCGGTGTGATTCTTCGATGCCGGAAATCACATTCCGGCAACGTGCTGTCCGCAAAGCACTATCTTCCTTGGACATTCATAAGTCGAGCGGGCCGGATGGTATCCCCCCAATTGTGCTGCGTACTTGTGCTCCTGAGTTGGCTCCGGTCTTAACGCGCCTTTTCCGGTACCTGTACTCGCTCGGCACTGTCCCGAAGTGCTGGAAGACCGCTTCGATACATCCGATCCCTAAAAAAGGCGATCGCTCTGATCCGTCCAACTATCGCCCAATAGCTATAACCTCCTTGTTCTCCAAAATAATGGAAACCATTATTAATTGCCAGCTCTTGTGGTATCTAGAGGGCCACCAGTTGATTAGCGATTCTCAGTACGGCTTTCGTCGTGGTCGCTCAGCTGGTGACCTCCTTGTATACCTTACCCATAGGTGGGCAGAGGCAATTGAGTCCAAGGGGGAGGCGCTGGCGGTAAGTTTGGACATAGCGAAAGCCTTCGATCAGGTGTGGCACAGAGCACTGCTCTCGAAGCTTCCAGCCTATGGGCTTCCCGAGAAATTATGCGATTGGATCTCCAGCTTTCTGGCCGATCGGAGCATCAAGGTCGTCATCGACGGAGCATGTTCCGACCTTAAACCTGTGAACGCTGGGGTCCCACAAGGCTGTGTTCTATCCCCGACCCTATTTCTTCTGCATATCAATGATATGTTGCAACTTAGCAACATTCATTGCTATGCGGATGACAGCACTGGGGATACTCTTTACACTGGCCGGGCAGGTATTTCTCGGGCAGTTGTTGATGAGTACCGGAACAAACTTGTGTCTGAAGTCGAAACTCTACTACGTGGAGTCTCAGACTGGGGCAGACAAAACCTAGTCCAATTTAACCCCAAGAAGACACAAGTTTGCGCGTTTTCCGCTAAAAAAACACCCTTTGTCGCTACTCCTCTTTTCGAAAACACTCTTCTTAAAGCCACAGCCAGCATTGGAATACTTGGCGTTGACATATCGAACGATGTTCAGTTTCGCGGTCACTTGGAGGGAAAGGCTAAATTAGCCTCCAAAAAGCTTGGTGTGCTCAGCAAGGCGAGGCGGTACTTCACTCCGGGCCACCGCATGCAACTATATAAAGCGCAAATTCGGCCCCACATGGAGTACTGCTCTCACCTCTGGGGCTCCCCAGTACCAGCTCCTTCCACTTGACCGTATACAACGCAGAGCGGTTGGAATCGTCGACGACCAATCCCTCTCCGAGCGGCTTGATCCTTTGGCGTTGCGTAGAGATGTGGGGTCACTCTGCATCTTCTACCGCATTTACCATGGAGAGTGTTCAGAGGAGTTGTTCGGATTAATACCTGCAGCTGAGTTTCATCATCGGACGTCGAGACAGAATACGAAATTCCACCCGTATCACCTCGACGTCCGCCGTTCCACAACTGAGCGTTTTTCAAGGCAGTTTTTGCCGCGCACCACCACTATGTGGAATCAGCTGCCCACTGAAGTATTTCCGAACCAATTCGACTTAGGGTCCTTCAAGAAAAGAGCGTACCAATTCTTAAAAGGCCGGCAACGCACTCGCGAGCCCTCTGGCATTGAGAGTGTCCATGGGCGGCGGTGTCACTTAACATCAGGTGTGCCTCCTGCCCGTTTGCCCCCCGTTCTATAAAAAAAAAAAAAAAAAAAAAAACTGCATTTTACCTATAGATCAAAAGTAGCTTAGTATTTTCCAATACCCCAGTCCCACAGGAATCATACTAAGAGCTGAGCCTCGACTTTAAATCGAGCTTTACGAAAATAATAAAATGCGCAAAGTGTTTGTTTTGTTAAACGAGCAATACGTCTCGATATTTCGATATTGCAAAATCCAATGTAGGATACAAAAGAGATCACATACTTAACATTTAGGACGTCCTTGGCTGACCACTGCAAAAGTGTATGTTCAAAAATTGGCACTAACAGCTTTTAAGCCTTAAGTATAGGTATCTGTCCTTTTCAGCTGAGAGAGAATATTTATGGGATTCACAAAATAGATTTTGTTACTTGCGAAATGCTTTAATACTTCTCTGTCCAATAAGCAGGTTATAAATCCTAGGTTTCTTCTTGCCCACCCAATTGCTCCCAAACGTCCCTAACGTTAAAACGTAATTTTAAGAAAGATAAATAATTTTAGACAAAATTCGTCGGTTGAACGAGTTAATACACCCACATACTACCTACATGATCTCGTGTAGGTTAGGTGAAGTTTCATCTGTCACTATTTATTTGCCTTTGATTCTATCAATGTATTCACTGGTTTGAATACAGTTAAATAAATCAAGAACTATTCATTACAGTAGGTAATGTTATAGTCAAAATAGGATATGTCCATCCTTACTAAAAATTTTGCCGTCTCACTTGAATAATTGGAAAATTACAAAGATTTCTTTTTATTAAAGTCAAGACAGAAAGAAGCTTTTTGAGGGTAAAATTATAATTATTTGAACCACCTGACGAAGCGGATCAAATTGTTAATGATAGTAAAATATTTTGCAGGTTGTCTGTCCGCGATGAGGGTCGCAACGAGCCGGCGCGCGCGCACGCTAGTGCTTTTAATATTAGCAGCTATTTCACAGTGTCTCTGCGATCCAGGTAACTATTTACATACATATAATAAAGCATAATCAAATAAAATAATATAAATAATTTGAAGAAAACTTCTATGCACCCAAAATAAGGTGTCTGTTTATATGTAGCGTGAAAGCTATATAATTGATAATTTAAAAAAGATAATCTATAAGAATTTTAGCCACAGTACACGGATGTAGCGTTCTTTAGACCTCTCAAGTGCAACAAGGATGTGAACTCGTTGCGATAGCCTGTCGCATCACGCATGGTCACGAGTTGAGCCTTCGTTTATCATATACATTATACACTGTTGCTAAGACAACGACGTGGCTAAGGCGAGTGCACACTCGATAACATACCATATTTCAGAGATACGTAGATGTCTTTTTTCTTATTCAAATTTATTATTGAAGTGAAACTTCTTTAGGCGCATGAGGGTAAAATTTTTGTCTAAGAAAAGGGATAGAGCGATTGAGACCGATTGAGAGAGAGTGAGAAGGGCGAATTACCTTATAGAAATTCTATATTTAAAAAAAAAATTCATAAAGAGAATTTATGAAACATTAGTATTTTATATTTTATGAAAAATAATTTATTGAAATTTCAAATGACGAATTGTAAATTAAAATGCCATTTGTTTTTATTATGGAAGAACTAAATTATTTTTTTGAATTTTAATATTTTAACGGTAGTTAAATTCCTAACATATCTTCCTTTTTCCCTCCCTCTAAGTCTCGAAAATCGAAAGTTTTAGATTTTATAAATATGAACAAGACTTAAAAATTAGTTTGCCAAAGAAGTTTCACTTCAGACATGTGTACTTTACGCACGCACTTTATTTTTTATCCTACCAAAGCTTTTGGCAATTTCTATGAACAGCAATGCCACGTGGGAACACGTGGAGAATCCTGAATCGTCTGTATACTCGTGGGTTTAATGAAGATGATTCAAGAATGCCAATATTGCAAATGCACGCTGATTTGAATAAATACGCGGAAATTACTGCTGATGTCTATCTCGGATCAATAAATACATTTTCTTCCCATATTAAAGGAGTTGTATTGCGTTTTAAATTATAATTAACGGCGAAACTTTTGTGACTGTTAAATATATTTCTTTGACAAAGACAAATGACAAAGATTTTTTTGAAATATCATATTGTGATATATCTTGTTTTGTGTAAAATAAGCTTCTTCTAAGTTCGTTCTGCGTTTATAATTTATTCCATTTAAATAACCTATTAGAACAAAGTAAATCGCAGTTGTCATGTCGCGCTTCCGAATGTCACTCGATCGGAAGCCGCATAGACGACAAAAAGTCAAGTTCTTGACATTTACATGACGTGCTCCAGCGCAGTCACGAAACTAGCCACGGATCCTTTCTCCGCCCTTGGCTCTACTTCCGCTAACGGTAAAGTCAAGGCTGCCAATTTTATAATTATAACAATTACCGACATAAAACGTGCATCCTTGAGTCTTTATGAGCTTCTCAAATGGTAATTATTGGTAAAGACGGCCGGGATGGCCTTATTCTTTGCTATTTGTAAGATATAACTTTTAAAGATATAATGCCATGGTGAAACTTTTCGTATAATACGTTCATGTATACGTTTATAATGATTTTGATAATGGATCTGTTTTTGATTCGGGTCTTAAGAACGATGTTAATTTTACTGTTAATATTTAAATTATAAGATGTACACATAATGACACATTAGCAGGAAGGTCGTGAATCATTGCGTCCATTTAGAGTAGTACTGGCTAGTGAAAGCTAACTGAAGGACAGTTTAGCTCCATACCTTGGTATATTAAATATATTTTAAACGGTTGCTATTTGTTTTCAAGTTTTTTGCATTGTTCTGTATAAAATATATTAAATGACTAATTACTTTAAAAAAGAGTTTTATCATTGATAAATATGAGATATCTCGTAAATTAATCGTAGCAATCATAGTCTTGTAAAAGTTACATGCCCTTGTGTTCTCACTTTCTATACAATTTTTAATAGTCACAGTGAAAGTCGCACACGTGTTCTGATTATTTACAAATTTGTGTATTTTTTTATTTCATATGGTTTTATCTTCTTAGTAAGTCAAGTCAAGTCAAATCATTTATTTCAATTAGACCACCTAAAATGGCACATAAAATAAAATAAAATATAAAGATGATTCTAGTTGCCGATTCATTTATTTACATAAAAATCATTATTTCTACAGCTAGTGAAAAAATAATAGCTTTACAATTACATAGAACAAAAAACGGAATACACATTTAATTACAAACAAGAAACACACTTAAATTTTTTGTGAAACGGATTGATTTTATTAATCACTATAACAATGAATAAATGGACATATATATTTATACTTGTCACTGTATTCATAAAGATAATCTATCTCAATTCAAAACTGAAATAACGTACATATTTTTTATATCGGCTTCAAACAATTGTAAGAACAAGTATATTACGTTCATAAGGTTAAACAAGTGCGGATCTAGAGACGGATCTACGAGTGACAAATCGATTTTAGTACAAAAAGTAATTGATAATTATGGTGATACACTACTCATGTGGAGATGATGAAGGTCCCTGCTAATGGAAGAACCGGAGCATTATTTGTATTCAATACTATTTCTTTTCTATGGCTTTAATAAAATAAGAGAATTGTTATTTTGGGATATGAATACATAAAACATTTTCATATCAAAACCGTGTTATTAGGTTCGTATTTAATGAGTCTGACTCTAAAGTCCAAATTATCAGGACGAAAAGAGATTATTTTGACTGTACCTTACCTTTCAACAGACTTAAAATTAAATTTACCTAAGCCTGGAGTACCATTTTTCAATTCGCTGTTATCGTTTTTTGTTATTTTTTTATATCTTAAATTTAAATTACCTTTAACATTTTAAGCATCTAAATTAAATTTCCTGTAAAGAACAAATTACATTATTATAGAAACAAAACAAACGATTGAAGTCTGATTTAAGCTTTAAACTGTCGTGGTGCTACCACCATTAATTATAAAAAATATACATACTTTGTAAACAGTAATAACTTATCACAAACGTCTATATTCACTTCCTGATGAATTAAATATCCATTATTTGAAGTACTGGCATGTTCATAGGCCGTGAAGCTTATATAATAAAAACAGAAATCTTTCATATGGGATCTTTGTTCTTGTAGTTTGCATTGATTACGCAACATAAAAGCTCATATATACTGTAAAAACGTAAGGATAATTACTTTAATATGAGGAATATAGAATCGGGGTAAGGCCATCGGCTGCAATAAAATAAAACACAGATAAAAACAATACAAGGAACAGTTGACTAAGTATAAGCTAACCTTGTCGGCTAATTATTCGATATAAAGAATGAATTAAGCCAAAATTTACTTTATACGTGTGCAAATAGCGTGTGATCTCATTTATTTTCAATATTTACGAAAAAAAAAGGACGATGGCCATGCGGATTTGTTTTTAGCACCATCATCTTTTTTTCCTATTTAAAGTTAAATGGTTTCATGACTTGTATAAATTTAATTATATTCATCTTCAAACTTAGAACAGCCAATAACTTTTTGTGGCTTTGAGCGTCGATTGTGTGATATTTTACATTGATCTAGAAATCCACTATATGTATACCTATTTCGTTAACCATCAAACAAACGTACTGCCAAAGTACGGGTTTCTGAAGTTAGAACAGGGGTTATCAGATCTATCTTCTATGACCTATTTGTATATAGCAATACAAAGTATTTGTTAATTTCCTTGTTTTTTAAGTGGATTAAAAAGCTAACCTGCTGCATGACCTCTCCTCACAGGTATGTTTCAATAATAAAGGCATAGCGTAATTGCAAATGCATGTTTGTTTTGCTTTAACCTAGTTTCATATTGTCAATAACTAAAGTTGCACGAATGTTGTATACGACTGTAATTTATAATATTGCTTCACGATAAGCAGACGCCTACTCACTTGTATCTCATAGACTATAGTTTTATCATTTTTCCATAATTATAATAAATAAGATATTCTTTAAAAAGACTCTCTTAAAATTTTTATGTAAGGGTTATATAAAGAATAAGCGAGTTTTACATTTCATAGACGACACACCATCTTGTATTTGCTTGTATGTAGTAGAGCGTCTTGTTCTCGTTCAGTGCCACACCCACTTGACAGGCTCTACTATCGACAGGGCATGTCATTATTGAACTTTCCAATAAATAATATTTGATCTGGTTTTTATTATCAACCGTCGTTTGGTTTCGTCCTTGATGTATAGGTATTATGAGTTCTTTTATCTTCTTATGCATACTAATAAATTACTCAGTCTTAATACTTCTTATATAACTCGTCCATTTCTGAACATAAATCCCCATAAAGTTATTCCTTTGCCTGTCGCATCTATTTTCGTATGAGGTTCTTTAGCGCATCAGACTTTTCTCTGTTTATTTTGTTTTCTCGTCCGTGGTGTTAATAATAGAAGATTTAATAAGTTCGGGAATTATTATCATAATTCATCTTACACATTTCTTCATGAATCTTTCAGAAGTCACCTATCACATTCAATAGCTTGTTAGATTTACTTGACTTAGAGTCGTTACAGAAAGCCTCATTCAATTTCTCACTTCTGTCTGCTGTCGGTGCATATACTTGAACGTAATTAATGTTAAATGTTTTAACTTCTAGTTGTGATAATTATTTATTAAATAATAAATCAATAATTAATATATAATTATTTAATGAATTATATTTAGATTTAAATGTTTTCCAAAGTAACAATATTTTTATTTATTTAAACAAATTTATAATATAAAATATTATCTTTCAATAGTTGTAAAGGAACAAGATTTTTGTTTTTGTGTCATATTTTACTGAAAACATATTTTGTTTGCTTCATAAATGTGTAATAGCTTTGTCGTCCATATTTGATCAAAATGCTGAACGTGCACGTATTTAGTACAAGACCCTCAAAGATTGCCAGTTATAGATGATCTCATCTAATGGTTATTGCTAAGACACATTTTTCACTCACTAATACAACAGTAATACAAAATTATATTCAGTCAATATTGAGAAACAATTTTTGAGACATACTTTTCTTATTTCAGGTTTTTTAATACGTTTTTTTTATTCGCAGAAGTTTATTACGAGAAACAACGCTACGATGGCTGGTTCAACAACAGAGCGTATCCAGACTGGGGATCTGTTAGTAAGTGCGATCTAAATTTATCGATAAATTAATAATAAACGATATTTTAATCAATAAACAAGAGTTAAAAATTCGCCAAACTTTAATTAATATTTTCGTAGTTGCCTTCACTGTCATATAAATACTGACCGACATCTATCACCTTACATTGAGTTCGCCATATGATTTATCAACAGTCCATTTTGGTAGGGGAGCCCACGATGCTAAATGGGGATTTACTCGAGCGTCGTAGAGACCTATTGGGATACAAAGCTTAGATAAAAAGAAGAAAAAATGTTATATGATAAATTCCTTTTCATCGGTGGGGGAAGCGGCTATAGATAGTTAAATATGTAAAAAAAACTGTTGCATGGACATCCTCGAGCGCGTCAGATATTGATAGCATCTATGCCCTACGTATTTTTAATAATGTACGTATGTTAATCTGATCGTTTGCATGATGCGGGTGGTTGTATTTAAGGGTTGAAAATTAAAAAAAAAAAAATTATCGAGCGCGTCAGATTTTCTAAGGGAGTGTTAAGTGCACCAAAAAAAATCTCTCATTCACTAATCTGACGATTTCGATGGGACGCAAACCCACAGCCATTTTCTTAATTTGCAAAAAAAAATCGCAATTTTGAAATACTCAAGCGCGTCAGATTAAGATATATGTGGTTCATCTTTATGTTCTAAACGTACTGTCTCATAATCTGACGATTATCTAGAGGGATTCGCCTGATCTGACAAAAAAAAAAATAGAAAAACGGTTCACCTAAAGGGCCATCCCTGCAACTTCCCGCTAATTCCATTCCTGGGCGCTTAAAATTGATATTTTGAGCTCGCTGAGTTCAAAGAAATAACATTTCTATGCATTTGAGCTCTCCCAGCTCGAAAGTCTGATAGAAGTTTCATAGAACACTATTTTTGGAATTTTCAAACCGCAATAACTTTTGAATGGATCAAGCAATTTTCACGCGGTTGGCGGCATTCGACGCAGTTTTATCATTCTCATAAGTAATTTTGCAATTTTAATTGATCGAACCACAAATTTCGGAGTAATCCCGAAAAAACACTTTTTCGGGTTTCTTTCATGTACGATATCTCTCGAACGAATCAACCGCTTTTGACCAGCTTGGTGGCGATCGACGTGGTTTTTCAAGCTCAAAGGCGGATTAGTTTTTGAAGTTGATCGATAAAGAAACCACTTAAAAAAAAATATTTCTTATTTTTTTAAGATTTTTCAAAATTTCTCAAAATCTATCGGTCCGAATCGGTTCAAATTCACAGGAAATGTAATTTTGAGGGAAATATTTTGAACGCCGTTTAGTAGATTCCGATCGGTTTAAGGAAATGTAGGCATCACGCAGCTGCACGCATTTAACTTTATCGACGAATTTTTGTTATTTCGGCTTGCGGAAATCGTCAGATTATATATTTTTCATTATTCTGGAATTATTTCCTTCAAAATAAAAGAAAAATTAGCTACGCTCGAGAATGTCGAGATGACGTTTTTTTTTACAACTTTGTTGCCCTCCCTTTTTTCCGTCACTCTCAAATTGTCAGATTAGTGGAATATACACTTTTTAGGATGTAATTAACTCACCCTACCTTAATCTGACGCGCTCGGGAATTTCTGATGGTCAATTTTTTTTTACTAATCTGATCCTGTCTCCTTCACGCGCGGCCTTATATATGGGCCTCATATTTTGTGGAGGTACTTAACCGGGTACAAGGTATCCCCCTATATAGTAATCTGCCGCGCTTTAGTAAATCCCGAAATCCCCTCTTGGGCTCCCCTACCATTTATCATATTTGATTAGGGAACGTCATAAAACCGAATGGACAGAGCGTGATATTTCGAATGACAGATCAAGTTTCGAGCGCATTGCACAACAATCTATCATTTAATCAAAACCATGCACTGCTGCACCTTTTTAGGTGTTACGAGTACTTGCTTTCTAATTATAAATTTTAGAGAAACCTGTTTTCATATTAAATACCTTTCACGTTACTTTACATACAATTTATCAAGAAGAAGTTATCGTGATGATTCGGTGTCTCATACAAAAGACTTTAACGCGTCCATTATTTTGATAAATATGATCATATTTTAAAAGAACTTTGTTTCGTTTAAGAATGAAATAATACATTTACTTTCTCTAGATTGTGGCGTAGAAAACTCGATAACTTTACTTAAATGGAATGCTAGAAATTCGAGCCTTAAATAATTTAGTTAATTCACTTCAAATTGTGTGGAATAATTTTACTTCAATTTAAAGACATTGTTCTTAGTCTAGTCATGTATATGCCATTAAGAAACGTGATTAATTAGTCGAATAGGTAACATACTTTTGTACAATTATATTGATGACATATATAAACCAAAAAGTTTCGGAGCTAATCCTACAGATTACTAAGGTTTGATTATGCGAGTCATTATATAAATAATACTTTTATTATTCTATAAAACATTTGCATGTTTACCCTAAAAACTGAATATATAACGTAAGTGGATAATTTATGTTTTATTTAAGCATCAAGTAAATTTTCTCATCGTCCCTAATTCGTTGTTCATGTCTATGCAATGTTTAGCATTGCGTAAACTCATGCGCACGTTGAAGTGCTAGACGCCTTTGTGCTATCAATCACGATTCATCCAACGTTTATTTTACATAATAATCAATTCTCTCAATAATTTGTGCATATAAATTATTTTTTTAATATTTCAATTAAAACTTTGTGGATGTATGTCATGTTAGCAAATTAGTTTTATACCATTTTTTATTTATATTAAAGAGAAATAAAAAAAAATATTTAACTTGTAAATAAATATTATTACACTTCGTATATATATGTGGCTGGTTTTGGTAAAAAGGTTAAATTTAAGAAAAATAAACAAAATAGTTTCCTATTGTTTACAAAACCTATTTCAGTGTTAGAGAAGGGCAAAGTTTTTTGACGACGCCATTTTTAAAAATGTCCAGCAATATCGGTGTATCTGTAGTTACAACGTACCTGAAAAACTGGGAATGGACCATAAAACAGTTTTGACCCTGAGCTCACTGAAAGATCTAATAAGCCGCGTACTTGGTTTGCAATTGTTTATCGACACGTAACGAAACTAAACTATTTTTGAAAACATTGTTAACTGATTAAAATTAGATCATGTACAACAAGAACGTCGTAGTTGTGCCAAAATCTGTTAAAGTTACAATTTGGTGATACTGAGTGTATGATGAAGTGGTAAAGGCCTTTGTTCATTATGAACCATTTTACCGCCGGGAAGAACCAACGATTTGCATCTTAACTACCACGAACTGATAAATTTAAAACAAATATTAAGTAAATGCGGCCGGAATTCATCACGACAACGCTAGACCTAGGCACACATTTCACGCCAATCAGCAAAAATTGAGATAGTTTGGCTGGCAGGCTTCCGCCGTATAGTCTGGACCTTGAGATCCTGTTTCGGTCTATTTGAAATTATATAGGTAGTGTCAGTTTAAGAGAAGATTGCCAAAACCGTTTGTCGTTTAAAAAAAACACATATAATAATAAGAATAAAATGGCCTAACCTATAAAATTGTTTTGTGCAACTCATTACTAACTTGTATGGTGTGGTTCTTTGAACTACTTTATCAAAACTGATTAAATTTGTTTGATAGGCAGTCGACTCACGCGCAAGACGCCTGCATCCTACGCAGATGGAGTGTACATGATGGCAGGGACCGACAGGCCCGGGGCTCGAGCACTGTCCAAGCTGTTCATGAGAGGACAGGATGGATTACCCTCCCTTGCCAATCGAACTGCTCTTTTAGCTTTTTTTGGTGAGTTATTGATATATGAAAGAGATATTACAAGAGCTTATTTCACAGCGAGTACAAAAAATGTCAAAGCTAAAGTAGGAAGCTGCTGGTAAAATCTACGCCAATCTATACTTGTATATTCGTAGGTAATCTCTTTTCCACCAGCACCTAAAGGTGTGTTATGTTAAAATTACATACAATATTATCCACAGGTCAAGTAGTTACGGGAGAAATTGTAATGGCATCAGAGTCGGGGTGTCCAATAGAGCAGCATCGAATCCCAGTGGAGAAATGTGACCACATGTATGATCCAGGGTGTGATGGAGCCAAACATATGCCGTTTCATAGAGCAGCGTACGATAGGGCTACAGGCCAAAGCCCTAACAGTCCAAGAGAACAGGTTAGTTCAGATATTGATAATAGAATCTACATGTACCATACATTTGTCCTGCGTTCGAATCTCGACCTTTTGATTTTCTATGTGCCTTAACGCCTTTAGTACACCTACGCGTTCGTATGCGGCTGCGAGTCTTTGCGAAATAATTGCGGTAGCGAAATATCTGCGGAACGTTAGTACACTGCAGTTTTTTCGCAATGCAATGTCATTGTAGCTTTCGTGGGCTGTAGGTGCAGACGTCGTTTCAGAATGTCATCTTAGTCGTACCAGTCGTCGCTTTCAGATTCTGAAGAGGAAGAATTGTTGTTGCTGGCGTCGGTATTAAAGAGAAAGCGTAGAATCTGGGTGCATGAAATAAATCAGAAACGAAGAAAACTCGGAGAAAATAAGCTATGCTTAGAACTTCAATCACATGAAGATCGTTTCCATACATATTTCAGAATGAAGCCGGTAACTTTTGAATATATACACAATCTTCTTGAACCTCATATTAAAATAGAAAAATACAAACTACAGGATGGCTATTTCAACAAAAGAAAGACTTGACAATATAATTCGGGATAATTTCGAATCAAATTTAATAATAATTCAATATTTTCGGCTTCCATTGTGCGAAATTCTGTCCTCACTGACAGAACGCGTGGCGACGCATTGCGATGCGAAACTCCGCTAGCGAAACGGCTGCGTCTGTGTAACAGCCATTTCGCAGTTACAACTATTTCATCTAGCTATATAATAGAGCGAGACAAAACACATGCGCAACGTTGCCATACAACTTACAGTTTTTTCGTCGTTTCGCTGCCGCATGCGATTGCGTAGGTGTACTAAAGGCGTAATAACTCTTGCTTGTTCGCCGAAGCACAGGTTGCTTCGGCGAATGTCTTATATTGTGCACCGCCAACATATAAATAAAAACTGAGATTTGACAAAATAAAACTGTTGAAGACTACGTTAGGCATTACATTTATACATAATAACGGTGTAACGTAACAATTTTCCACAGTAATGTTAACGGTAAAGCACAGATGATAAGGTTTTAAGATTTATCTCATAATATTCATTTCATACAGGATACAATGCACACACATAAGTAACTTATTGTAAACTTATTTTATTCATGTATAGTGATTATTACGTAAGTATACACTTCACATAGAGAATATTAATAAAGTAAGAAACGAAAAGCCATTCTTTGAGCTTTTAACCAGATGCACACAAAGGATACTTCTTACTCAAAAGGTAACTTACTACTTAGTACTAAGGTACTTGACTATAGCTGCTATGGATGAATATAAACCTCATAATAAATCTCCTTTAAATTCTTATAATTAAATTCCAATGAATAAGTACAGTAAATATATATGAAAAGTTGATATGGCCATAAAATCAACAGTACTAATAGAACATACATTTTCATTGGTCGTTTGATCTAGTTTCACATTTAATCGCTTAATTTATTTGACATATTAAATGCATAACATACGGCTTGACAATCGAAGGTTAGAATGAACCAATAAAATTTAATAGCACCTTCTAACCTAGATCACACCAAAGACCGCATTTATTAGAACAAATACGACCTGAGCCTATGTAAGAGGATCTCGCTCCTTTACGGAATGTTAATTGATCTTCATGAGATGGAGCCTACGTACACTTGCTACGATTGAGAACGACATGTAGATTGTTCAAGTATTAATGAAACAGTGCTTGTTGGTTTATTAGTTTTAAACCTAAAGTCAACGTATGTCCGGCCGCCAAGAAGTTTCAATGCGTCATTCAAGTGAATTGTAATGAAGGGTTTTGAATTCATAATATGTCATACGTATGTTTAATGAAATGACTAATGATTTATTAATTTTTAATTATCTTAAGGCAGATTTAATCCAAATGTCGTTTCTCTACATAGAGAAAATTATACGCAAAGCAATATTGTAATTAAGTGATTGCATTCGTTTTAATTTGGCTATATTGTTCATAAATGAATTAAACAAATGTATTAAAAATAATAATCCGAATATTAATTTATGTGAATATAATATAATTTTATGTTTCAGATAAACCAGATAACATCGTGGATTGACGGCAGCTTCGTGTACAGCACCAGTGAGGCCTGGGTGAATGCAATGAGGTCATTTCAGGTGCCACCCAGCAGCTCCGCCTGCGCATTTCTGTACTTTCATATGATACTGCAATCGTGACATACTTATTACCGACAACATTTTTGTTATCTAAATTAGTTTTTTTACTATTCTCGTAAAAAAGCCATCGATGTAGAATATTTTAAATAAGTTTTCTTGTATAATTAGGCTCGAAAGACTATTTTTAAACAAGCTTAAAGTTGGTATTGTAATTTTTTTAATAATCTTTAAGTTGTTTTGTAAACAAAGCAAATTATTAAACTTACCGTTTCGTTCTGAAAATCAAATGTATTAGTTTCATACGTGCATACGTAAACAAACAAATGATTTCGTTTTCAAATTCAAATTCAAAAATCATTTAATCATATAGGTAACACATTGTACACTTATGACTTGTCAGTAAAGAAAGACATATTAATGCTTCCAATTTTACATTTAGTGCCAGTTCTCAAATCAAGGGCGTAGAACGGAAGAGAAGAACTGGCAATAAACTCTCCGCCACTCTTTTTATTCGCCTTTTTTTTTTTACACAACGTTTGTAAGGAGCTGCAACCATTAAACCATGTTCCCCATGACATCTTAAGTAATTAATAATAATAACATAGATTAAAAACAAAGAGTTGTCCTCTATCAGCAGGAGGCATGGTGAAATAGGAGCACGCACTTACATTCTCGTGGGAACAACACGCAAACACATAGTCGAAATAATTAACATCACCGCATACACGAATTCAAGTACGACCAGTCACCACAAGTACCACCCGTTCACGAGTATGACGCATGGCCAGCCATCGGCCATTTTCGTTGACACATATTGTATATTGTATACATATTATTTCTAAAATGGCAGAAGAGTTAAAACAATCTTAAAATTACAGAACGGAAGCCTGGCGAGTGAAGGTGGTTTGCCGTTGCGCAACAAGAAGCGGGTGCCCCTCTTCAATAACCCCGTTCCGCACTACATGAAGATGCTTAGCGCTGAAAGATTGTTTCGTAAGTAGTTTTAGTAACAATTGCTGAGAAAATTTACTTTATTTATGACTGGGGTTTCAAGTTGAAGTGAAAAAAACTCCTTGAAAACCAGTTGACCTAAATCAGCCCGAAAGAGATAGTTTTTTAGAAATAAGGCCGCCCGTTGCCCTCAGCAACTTGTATGTTCGTAAATGTTCTAGTACTTGTATTATGTGAATACACAAAGTGATAATAAATGAACGACGTCTTCAGTGTTAGGAGATCCGAGGACAAATCAGAACCCAGCGATGGTAACCTTCGGAATACTCTTAATGCGATGGCATAACGTAGTAGCAGCTAGAATTCACAAGCAACATCCTGATTGGACTGACGAACAACTCTTTCAACGAGCTAGACGCATTGTGATCGCGAGTTTGCAGGTAATTTGCATAATAATACAACAATTACCTACTTATTATACTTCAAATGTCTGCTGAATGTGCTTTTCTTCATACCATTTCTACGGACAAATTTTAAAAGTTCTTTCAATATTGTACGCTCTTGACAAAAATTTGACAGTAATATCTTCTTCACTCTCCACAATTATGCAAATCGTAATGCATAATTGTATTGTAATTTTAATTAATATATTTAAATATTTTTTTTTACCAATAACAAACGGAGATTAAACATTTTACTTAATATTTCAGAACATAATTCTCTACGAATACGTACCCGCATTTCTTGGTGTTCCGATCCCCGCTTACCAAGGATACCGAGCAGATGTTGCACCCGGAATCACTCACGCGTTCGCGGTGGCCGCCTTCCGCTTCGGCCATACCCTTGTTCCACCGGCCATTCTTTTGAGAGACAGAAACTGTAGATATGGCAGAGCTCCAGGCGGTCATGATGCTATACGGCTATGTCAGACCTGGTGGGATGGAAACGTATGTATGAAAATATTATAATTTTTATATACTTATATATTTCCAAGCGAGAGAAACTCCAGAAAAAATACATCTCATCGAATTATTTCATCTTTACTAGGTATTGAGGTTGTAATAAATAGTTACATGTTTTTTCAGGACTTAATGTCTCAAGTTCCAATAGAGGAGGTTCTCATGGGAATGGCGTCTCAGTTATCGGAAAGAGAAGATGCGCTTCTCTGCTCTGACGTTAGAGACAATTTATTTGGACCAATGGAATTTTCTAGAAGAGATCTTGGAGCTCTCAACATCATGAGGGGACGGGATAACGGCCTACCTGATTACAATACGGCAAGGTATTTATTAGAGTTAATGTTTTTGTCATCTTGATTATTCAGAACTATGATTATTTCGTAAATATTACAGAACATATTTTGGATTACCAAAAATGAAGACGTTCAACGAAATAAACCCAAAATTATTTGAAGAAAACCCAGATTTACTGCAAAAGCTAGTTCAAGTTTATAATGGAAGATTGGACAATATCGATGTATATATAGGTAAACAATACTTAATTTTATACAAAAACATAAGTTCCTAAAATTTTTAAGTAATATTGAGTCTTCATTCATTTTGTGATATTTTTCCAAGATAAAGAATAAACAGGAGTATATTATTTAAGGATTGAAATTAAATTATTGCAGGTGGAATGCTAGAATCAACAGGTCATCCGGGAGAATTGTTTCGGGCGATAATTATTGACCAATTCACAAGACTAAGAGATGGGGATAGATTCTGGTTCGAAAATGACGTTAATAGGTTTGTTACGACTGTTTACTATATGTTGTATGTGTTACTTAAGATTGAATTAATTTGAACGATTGAAATTTCCTCTAGCATATTTACTCGACAAGAGATCGAGGAACTGCGTCACATTTCCCTTTGGGACATTATAGTGAATAGTACCGCGGTTGGTCCCGGAGACATACAACGGGACGTGTTCCATTGGAGCGACGGTGACCCTTGCAGACAGCCCTACCAGCTGAACGCGTCCAAACTGCCTCCTTGCAAGTACCTTAAGGGATACGATTATTTCGAGGTAGTATGAGTTCCAGCTTATTTAAAGCATATTTCTGGTTATCTATCTATGCCTATCTTATAGAAGTTATTGTTCAAAATGTCGATTAGCTCTGTTCAAAAAAGTAACTATGTACCTTTTACATTATATCAATGGAAGATAAATTAAATATATATAAAGTGATTATTAGATAAAGTGTTAAACTAAAATACACTCATATATACATATATAATATATATGTCTGATTTGCTCAACAATACTATACTTACTGATTAAAAATAATGATTGTTTCATATTTAGGGAAACGAATTCGCATATATTTACACGTGTCTCATATTGGCATTTGTACCGATTCTTTGCGCCGGAGCGGGATATGGTGTAGTTAAATTGCAAAACAGTAGAAGACGCAAATTAAAATTGCAGCAAGAAAACTTGAAAAATACTCAATGTAAAGGTAATATTCAGTTAGTCATTGGTTTAATTCTTTCATCAAATTAACAAATACGCTAAGCTCGCAGGATGTATCATTAAATTCATTTTTCACACATTTTGTGATAAAATTGTTAAAGATATTTTCGTAATTTTAGGTGCGGTCGATAAGATGGTATGTAGAGAGTGGGTTCACGCATCCTACAAGCGGCTGGTGAAGCTTCGCCTGGGTCCTGAACCCGCTCTACACGTCACAGACCGTAAAGGGGAGAAATTACGTACTGTGCCATTGGACCACACCGATCAGTTCACTGTTATTGAAAGCCAGGTATGTGTTGTGAAAATTAAAAAAAAACATTCCTACATTATCTAAAAAAATTTAGTAGGTATGACTATTTTTTCGGAACAAAAATCTCATTAAACTTGCAGGAGTTGGCTCTGCAACTACCCGTTTTTATTAAAATATTAGATGTTTCATTAACATTGGTATGGCATTTTCAGGAAACTCGCAATAAACGCCCTCTAGTGTTAATCCGAGTACCACGTGAACACGATCTCGTATTGGAAATGGACTCAGTAGGGTCGAGGCGAAAATTCCTTCTTAAACTAGACACCTTTCTCTCACAACATAAGAAAACCTTGAGTCTCGCACAGGTACGTGTTTATTTTTTGTTCACTTACAGCTTGTTACCTAACGCACTACGTTTTATTTGTATTGAATAAATAAATAATATAGGCACATACCTCAACCAGAAACAAGATGGCACAGATATTCATTTGTTTTTCTAGAAGCTGTTATTTAATTAAAACCATATTATTATTAAAGGCCGCGCGGGAGAATATTCTTACATCAGCTGAGACCCGCGAAAGGAGACAAAGGAAGTTAGAACATTTCTTTAGAGAGGCTTATGCCATCACATTTGGAATTACACCAGGAGAAAAAAGACGAAGAAATGAGGATTCTGATTCCGAAGTATGTATATTGTAATTTGTATTTATTTTATACATCTACTTTTGGATACTTACGTGTTTTATAGATGCTATAAGATAACTTGTTCTTTTTCAGTCAATAGTAATGAGAACATCTCTATCAAAGAGCGAGTTTGCGAGCGCTCTTGGCATGAAAGCCGACGCAGTATTTGTAAAGAAAATGTTCAATATTGTCGACAAGGACAGTGACGGAAGAATCTCTTTCCAGGTGAGAAACAGAACGTTAAACAAACCACTTGTGTTTTGTGTGTACATAGATTTGTTAACACAATCTGCAAATAAAAAGTGCGTTTTAATGTAGTTCGTTGTATCGTTTTATAAATACATTAAATTACCTGGATTATGCCTTTTTTTCAGGAGTTTTTAGATACAGTAGTTCTGTTCTCCCGAGGCGCGACAGATGACAAACTCCGTATAATATTCGACATGTGTGACAATGATAAAAATGGTGTAATCGACAAAGAGGAATTGAGCGAAATGTTGCGATCTCTAGTAGAGATAGCCAGAACCACATCGTTAAGAGATGAGCATGTCACTGAGTTGATTGATGGAATGTTTTCCGTAAGTTTATCATTATGGTACTGAAAATTCTTGAAAGAATAATTATACTTAAAGTTGGCTTTACTTTTATTATACAATGCTTTGTTTGTGGAAAATGTTATGCTTTAAATTTTATTTATATACATATATTACATATTATTTGAATATAATATCATTTTTGTTACACATTAGCGAATACAATTTTTTGAAGTTATACTTCTTTAGGCGCGTTATTAAAAATTGATGAGAGTGAAATTTTACGATGCGCGCGCACCGTTACACAAAATTATTAGTATGAAGTTGCCCACTAACGAATTCTTTTTAAACCAGCCGGGCGCTGAGCGTGCGCGAGCTAGATGGGAATAAGACAATCTACAAGTAAAAAGAAATAGAATATGCGTGAAGTTAGCAGCTATGCAAAGAATTTTGAATGACCATAATGACCTTTGTAGTACCTTTTACACAAATAAAGGAGTTAGAATTATTTTTTCAAAGAAATTTAGCAATGCTTTTTCACAAAGACCTATTGTTACTTAGTTAAAAGGTTATGAAACATACCTAGTTATTAAATTAAATAAATAATATAGTAAAATTATTAATAATATTAATTAATCATTGAATAATATACTAAATTTAAATATTATTAAACTATTAACGTTATATATTTATTATTAATTATTTAATATTTAAAAAAAAATAAAGAAAGCCAAAGAAGTATAACTTCTTACGCGCGTACATAAGTACACGCACCCTTTTTTTTATTTGAAATTGATTTACTTTTCGTTATTAACAGGATGCCGGTCTTCAGCACAAAGAACACCTTACATATAATGACTTTAAGCTAATGATGAAGGAATATAAGGGAGAGTTTGTAGCTATTGGCCTGGATTGCAAGGGCGCCAAACAGAACTTCCTCGATACTTCCACCAATGTTGCCAGGATGACCAGTTTCCAAGTAGAACCCTCTATGGAACAGTCTAGGTGAGACGAATATTCATTTACATTAGTTTAAAGCTGATATGAGACATAAAACATTAATTACTGAAAATTTAATTTTCAGACACTGGTTATTAATCAAATGGGAATATCTCACAACTTTCCTCGAAGAGAACAGACAGAATATCTTCTATCTATTCATCTTCTACGTGGTAACCATCGGTCTCTTCGTGGAGAGGTTCGCTCACTACTCCTTCATGTCTGAGCATTTGGATTTGAGACACATAATGGGAGTTGGAATTGCCATAACCCGGGGTTCGGCAGCTTCTCTTTCTTTCTGCTATAGTCTCTTGTTGTTAACTATGTCGAGGAATTTGTTAACCAAATTAAAGGTACGATTTAATTTTCTTTAAATATTCCAGTTATTTAAGATTTTTTAAATCTTATTCGAAATAGTTTTAAATGTATAATCTGATATTTACAAAAATATATTATATTTTAGGAATTTAGCATCCAACAGTACATTCCACTCGACTCAAGTATCCAGTTCCATAAAATAGTGGCATGCACTGCTCTGTTCTTCTCCCTCATCCACACCGCGGGTCACATGGTTAATTTCTACCACGTATCTACACAGCCCGTGGAGAACCTGCGCTGTCTCACCAAGGAAGTTCATTTCACTTCCGACTTCCGGCCGGGAATTACTTATTGGGTATTCCAGACAATTACAGGTGAGAAAATTATGTTTTTATTATAGTTTTTCTTTTAAATACATTTTTTTGAAAGTTACAGTCATAAGAGTTTATCAAATGTTTGTTCATAATCTTATAACAATTTGTGGTTACAGGTGTAACAGGTGTTCTGCTATTCATAATAATGTGCATAATATTCGTGTTTGCACACCCCGTAGTACGCAAACGCGCGTACCCGTGGTTCTGGCGTGCACATTCACTCTATATAGTTCTGTACGCACTTTGTCTAGTCCACGGTCTGGCCAGGCTTACTGGGGCACCACGATTCTGGATCTTCTTTATGGGCCCTGCTATCATTTATACTCTGGATAAGGTACGTTGATTTTACAATGAAGACATAAGACTAACTATTCGTAAATGTATAACTATAAAGAAGAATTTATTTTACAGGTTGTGTCATTGCGCACCGAATATATGGCGCTGGACGTACTAGAAACGGAAATGCTACCATCTGATGTAATCAAAATAAAGTTCTATAGACCCCCAAACCTGAAATATTTGTCAGGTACAATTACTTTACGTTTCATGTAGTTTTTAGTTTAAAGTAATCTATAAACAACATTATGCTTTGCATTTGTTTTATTCCTAATAAAATAGACTAAGATAATTGCAGCTATATACGATCAAAGACAAGTCTGCGAAATCCATGGAAACCATAATTACTTTAAATAACTGTAAATACCTACAAACCTATTGTATTCAAACACCAACAAATACTATTGTACTTCGTGCAGGCAAGCTAAAATAGACGTCGATGAATATTAAATGAATTATGTTACCAGGGCAATGGGTTCGTCTGTCCTGTACTGCGTTTAAGAAGGAGGAGTATCATTCGTTCACACTAACATCAGCACCACACGAGAACTTCCTTTCATGTCACATCAAGGCCCAAGGGCCCTGGACGTGGAAACTCAGAAACTATTTCGATCCTTGCAACTTTAACCCGGAACATCAACCAAAAATTAGGTATATTATATTTAAGTTAATGTCTTCATTAGCGAAGTTACTAAGATCAAAATAAATTTAACTTATTAAATTGTAGAATCCAAGGTCCCTTCGGTGGTGGTAACCAAGACTGGTACAAGTTTGAAGTGGCTGTGATGGTTGGAGGAGGTATAGGAGTTACTCCCTACGCCTCCATACTCAATGACCTGGTGTTTGGTACTTCTACTAATAGGTATTCTGGAGTCGCTTGTAAAAAGGTATGTTATTTATTATAAAATAGTGTAATTAAATAAATATGTAACAACTAAACAAGCTATTTTTAAATAAATCATGTATATTCAGGTATATTTCCTGTGGATCTGTCCATCGCATAAGCACTTCGAATGGTTCATAGACGTGCTGCGTGATGTAGAACGAAAAGATGTTACCAATGTTCTAGAGATACACATTTTCATCACACAGTTCTTCCACAAATTCGACCTGAGGACTACTATGCTAGTGAGTTTACCTTACGATTGTGTAAAATATTACAGAATCATTATAGTTTTTATCACGGATTACTTAACATGCTTTAATTTTTCAGTATATCTGCGAGAACCACTTCCAGCGGCTCTCACGGACTTCTATGTTTACGGGTTTGAAGGCGATCAACCACTTCGGAAGACCGGACATGTCTTCATTTCTTAAATTCGTACAGAAAAAACACAGCTATGTAAGTGTACAATTCAATTTAGGAATAAATCATATGCAATATTGTAAACTCGTCTATACTTTGTCAAACATGTGTTTACGGATGCTCTCAGTAGAATCAAATATTGATAACTTTTATCTCTAGGTGTCTAAGATCGGCGTATTCTCTTGCGGCCCACGGCCACTGACCAAGTCGGTGATGTCGGCTTGCGAGCAAGTCAACCGCACGCGTCGTTTACCCTACTTCATTCATCACTTCGAGAACTTTGGATGAAACCAAGCTTAAATTAGATAAATCTCTAATTCTCTAGTTTGTGGTACAACATTTTACAAAATCATATTAATTCCGTATATTATTAATAAATCTTGTATCATTTTGTGCCACCGAGTCAATTTATCAATTCATTTTATTCATGCCCATTTATTTTTATTAGTTTAAATCACACTTATGTTTTTATTGATTAATTTATTTCTTATTTATCTTTAGTATAGATATACAGAAATTCTATAGATTATTCAGGTTTGAAAAATTTAGTACAACTTAGCATTTTATAAATATAAAAGTGGACATTCCTCGACTTGATTTACTCAATCGACGGCAAATTGTATTTATTTAAAAATAAAACAATGTAAATAATGTAGATAATTAATTTGTATTTTAAAGGTATGTAATAAAAAATTTCCTCTATTATTTGTTTTATTATTTACAAACTAAGGTTTTTTAATTATAAACTATTAAAATAGAAAGTAAATCGGAAATATCATGTAACTAGTACAATATAAATCGCGCAACCAAATCTCTGAATTAATAATTATAGGCCCATTGAGGCTGCAGCAACGGCATTGTACTAAACATAATAGTTATTCTCAAACCTTCATTTACGCCTGTGTTATTATTGCTCGGTGATTTAAGGCCATCGCTTGCAACGCAGCCTTGCTACTTGACAAATTGCTGACTAAAATATATTCATTTTAACATGTTTTAACATCAAATACTATTCTGTTTTCTATTAATATTGATTAATGATGCCACTTATCAACATTATATGTGAATTGCAGGTGAAAGTCTGTACGAAATATTATTTTGGAAACAATTCTTATCCTTATAAGTTGACAGTGATACCTAACCGTTATTTTTTATTAAACCCTGACAAATTGGAGATATTACAGTTATAAGTGGGACGGATGTGGCCGACACATTTTTTTAAAGGAATCTCGCTGTTGGCCTTTATGGGCTTTACAGCTCAGCTCGGCCCTCGGGCAGTTTTGGCGAGTGTAGCTCGGCCTGAAAGGTGGCCGACACAACTAGAAAAATTTATTTATTATTTGCGCCCCACCTGCCGCAACGGGTTACATCTTGGGATGGATAGGTATACCCTATATTAGGTGTATACTCAGACAGGACCTTATTTGCAACACTATAAGTGAATGGTTCTTAAATTAAGCGTCGCGATGATTGAGATATGGCAAAAACTTCTCAATCACGACGCACTTTAAGTAATTAAGAACAGATTTAGTTCGAATTACATTGGAATCCTTCGTGGCCATATTGCCAGTCGAGCTCACTGTGTGATTGCAAAACATTGTAAATCGTAATCTACGTACACGATTACGACCTTCTAATTTCGATAGGCATCTCGAGAGGCTTCTCGAGATCATTCAATGTTGCTGTTAAAGGTAGCTGATGCACTTTGTACCACAAAGAGCAATTCATTGGGCGTGGAGAAATACTGTAAAGATATACTAATATTATACTTTGCGTTTCAGTATAAATAGTTCGCAGCACCCACAAAAAACTCGCAAAATACTGATTCAGTATTTTGCGAATTGTTTCGATTTCAGTAAAATTTGTAACAGTGCACAAGCTAAGAAAAAAAATATGATTATTATACTTGGCGATTGTCAGTGTGAAATTTATGTATGCATTATGTCCCTCCACGGATGTCTCGGTTGGAAAAAAAAAACAAATAATAATTAGGCGCCTGCGCTATTAAAATTATTACGTGCACGTGTGTACATACAAACCGCAGTACACAGTAATAATACTAGTACTACTCCGCTGGCTCGCGACGGTGTGTTGGCCTTCGAAACGAGATTCTTCCATCGCTCCCTGTCCTGCATCCGTGTGATAATGATTATCTTATTTTTTGCGTTTAATTGACAACTACTACCCAAAAAAATTTACCTTAGGTTCAAAGTTTATTCTCAATAAAAACATACATGTTACTTAGGTACATGAGACAAAATATTATATTAAAAACATAGAAAGTAAAATATCACGCCACCGTCGTACGCTGTTACTTCAAAGTCCATCTACCAAAAATCTCCGAAGGCGTATTCTGCATTGAAGTTAAAATTAATGTTAGTGTATTAGGTTATTTAATTTGTTTTAGTTAAGATGCTTGTTGTGAATTTGTGCATCTGCTTAATGTTTATTAATTTAGTGTCAATGTAAAGTGTGTTAATGGGAGTAAGAGTAGGATAAAGACCCGTCCCGTAACGGCGAAAGGTAAGCGCATCTCGGTTTTAATGAACTGTGAAAAGCAGCAGCAGCATCTTAAACATCAATTTACTGAGTCTGTGTCTTCACTCGTTATAGAAAAAAAATGAAATACGCGCAGGCAGTCAATGCTTGGTTGTGCCTTCCAAAAAGAGATTCAAATTATTGCTGTGGTATAAACCACAGTTTTCGTACGTATAAACTTTCATAAAACAGAATAAGTGTTAACTAAAGCAGTGATCTGTGTCTGCATGGCAACGTAAATAACTCATTTAGTAATTATGAATAAGGGGGCTTCGGTGTGATGATAATGAAAGACGTACTACAAAAATTAATCTACAAGAACACAAACTGATAAAATAATGTAGGTAAATTAAATTAACGACCCGTGCTCATACTAATGTTGTCTCTCATTACATGCTCTGTTTACCACGAGTTATATAATCTGCTCATGTTTCGTGTCAGTAAAACATGGCGAAGGTTACCTTATTGGACGAATTAATAAAAGAAATACCACTGTAATTCCATTTCCGATAAACAACTTTTTATTCAGATGCTTTTTACGTAGGTATATATCTAGTGACCTACCACTCTGACATTATTGTAGGCATTGTCGAGTTCCACAACTTTTCTCTAAAACTCAATTTATCTCTCACCGTTATGGCAGCGTTCGTTAGAAACAATTATCATTCGACCATTTTTCTTATTTTGCCATTCAATGACGACGATGTCTTTAAATATTTTTGGTAAAATTGTCTATGTCACTCGCAAATAACGTCTCTTTCTATTAGTAAAGTAATTTTAAAAATCGATTTTCTAGATCCAGAGATTTCCTTTACAATCTTAAAAACCTCTTTATAATATTAGTAAAGTTTTTATAAATTTTATAAAGATATGGTGATTGTATCTGTCTAGTTTTTAAATGCAAAATATCATCCTGTTTTATCCTATCAAGCTAAAACAGAGGTAAAAATCCCACCCACCGTAGTAAATACGAGTACCTACATCTCCAAGTATTTAATTAAGTCGAGCGAGGTTCAAAACTAACCATATTTTTGGTTTAAATTTTGACACTTTCAACTTAATTTTAACTTTTTTCCCATTACTGCACTATAAACCTAAACCTTAGCATTCCCTCTTTGTCTATTATCGCAACAAAAGATCGAATCGTGTAGGACGGGACATCGGGACATACTTAGTAATTAGGGAAACATTTTGTAGGATTTACAAAGTCATAGATAAATTGTGGCAGCCAAGGTCGTACCATTGTTGACAAATATCTTAGGTTTTGAATATTTCTAATTTCCGGGAAGGGGAATCAAACGCATACATTAGAGGAAATACTCTGAACGGTGGATTCGCTCGGATGCACTCGTGCATTTCCTCGTGCGATCAGCGGCACGTGCTTATGAGGAAGTCAATCATAATTTATGTTTTAGTGCATACTTTATAATGAAATGAGATCAGTCAGTAGGAACTTTATTGAAGAGAAAGAATTATTCAGGTTTTGAACTTACAAGAAGGCGTCAGAAATAAATGCCCAATTAAATTTGTGCGAAATGAAAACCTCGTGTCACACGTCAAAGAAAGCCATCGGCGCCGAGTGAAAGAAAGAAATGAGTTCGTCTCTTTCCCCCGCACTTTCATTACGCAGGTTCAGAGGTGCGCGAGCGCAAGTGAGACTTTAGTTTTCATCGATCGCGCGGCGACGGCGCTCTCTACCGGCGACCTCAACCATTACGCAATCGTTGCTTGTTTCCTAGTGTTAATGTGTACTCGGTGCCCTCCTCGTCGATATGTAATCTCGTTGCCAAAATCAAACCTAAGTGGAGTTTCCAGCGTAAAGGTGAATAATCTCAATGTTACAACGTTTTGCATTCACGAGCCGAAATCCTTGCCCTCAATTAAAACAATTTACAGCACTTCTCATTTGAATTATACGGATGCAAATTATTATTACTATGTATATTCTAAACACGTTTTATGAGTGAACTTGAGCAGTACCTAATCTGCGCGTCAATTAATAGACGACGCATAGCGGACATATCACATACATATTATTTAAAAAGTTGATCTTCACGACTTTCAATGAGCTTCATTTGCCAAAGGAAAGCCTCATTTAAAAGATTTTCGTTCCAATACAAAAAAGTTTATTTGACATTATCTGAAATTAGTGTATCTATATCTCCACGACGTTTAACTAGACGTTCTTTTCGTTGTTAAATTACTCAACAGCTTTTATGACTATTTCAACAAGTAATTATGTTACGTGTCACGTGAACGTACGCTTTTCATATTTGCGGTAACAGTCAAGCTTCCTCAAAGCATTTCGAAAATGTACATTTAAGAAAATTACTGTTTTACACAAGATAATGGAATAATAATATGAATTATGTTGTTACTTGAATTCACCCGGTAGATACACCTAAAGTACCGTTTAATTATTGTCTACGCCCTGCATAAATCTCAATTGTTGAAGCAATAAAACTTAATCTGGTTAATTAAATTGTATGTAAACCAATAACCATTACTTCGTTTCGTTCCATCCAAAGCCAGTGTCTGTATTAAACTAGGCAGCATTACAATACTTATGATGCCACTGCCGCTACAGTCTTGGCACTTGAATAAAATATGAGTTTGGTGACACATTATTATCTCTGTTACATAATTTTAAAGTTGTTTTAAACTAGACATAATTAAAGAGGTCGGTAAAATATAAAATAATAGTACTAGCGAATGACGTATTCATATTGGAACGTAAACCCACATGATTC